CCGCTGGGGAGAGCTGTCTAGGGCTGGTGTAGCTATTTATGATCTTGATTTTGATGCTATTCTCTCTGCTATGTATGCTGTGACTGGTAGTGATGAGGATGACTGTTACCGGTGTTTCCCGCCCGACCCGGGCATTGGTACTGCCGCGTCAGGTACTAGTGCAGCTGCTGCTCTAGGTGCCAGTGCGTCTGTGCTTTCAGGTACTGGTGAGTCCGCCCTCTCAGGTACTGTGTCGGCTTCGGCCTCTCACACCTTCACCCTTGACTCTGGAGCGTCTCGCTCCTTCTTTAGGGACCGCACCACTCTCACGCCGCTGAGTCGGCCGGTTGCGGTGTCCCTGGCGGACCCCTCTTGGGGGCCTGTCCTGTCTCGCTTCTCCACTGTCCTCCCGTGTCCGGCGGCCCCCTCTGGCACCCTGACTGGTCTCTACCTCCCCTCGTTCTCGACGAACTTGGTGAGTGGTGCTGACCTCCAGGATGCAGGTGTCCACCAGTTCACCCCTGCTCGTCAGCGGGTGACCCACTGTACGGAGGCGGATACAGGTCGCCACCTGGCTACGTTTACACGTCGGCCGGGATCGAGCCTGTACACACTGACCACTGCTTCTCCTCCAGGTACTGCGTCTGGTAGGGCCCCTTCGTCTGGTCAGGTGTTTGCTGCAGCGTCCAGGTCTGGTCCTGAGTCTGCCCCTTGTTCGTGTCGTCGTCTGTCTCACGAGACCCTCCTCTGGCACCACCGCCTTGGCCACCCCTCTCTGCTTCGGCTCAGAGGCATGGCCTCGCGGGTCCTTGTGTCTGGTCTTCCCCGGTCCCTCCCTCCCCTTCCTCCGGGCCCTGGCCCTGCCTGTGTCCCCTGTGTCGAGGGGCGCCAGCGTGCTGCCCCTCACTCCTCCCAGTTTCCTCCGACAGAGGCCCCGTTGCAGACGCTTCACATGGACGTGTGGGGCCCAGCCCGCGTCCGTGGACAGGGTCAGGAGCGCTACTTCCTGCTAGTGGTTGACGACTACTCGCGTTACACCACAGTCTTCCCCTTGCGCAGCAAGGGTGAGGTCACTCAGGTGTTGATCGACTGGATCCGCGCAGCTCGTCTTCAGCTTCGGAGAAGCTTTGGCTCTGACTTCCCTGTCTTGCGTCTGCACTCGGACAGAGGCGGAGAGTTCTCCTCGGCCCTCCTGAGTACCTACTGTCGTGTGCGAGGCATCCGTCAGACCTTCACGCTTCCGGACTCACCACAGCAGAATGGGATCGCTGAGCGCCGCATTGGCATGGTCATGGACGTCGCTCGTACGTCCATGATGCATGCGGCTGCTCCCCATTTTCTGTGGCCGTTTGCGGTCAGGTACGCTGCGCACCAGATCAACCTCCACCCCAGGGTCTCTCGACCGGAGACCTCCCCAGCTCTGTTGTGGACGGGGAAGGTTGGCGATGCGTCGGCGTTCCGGGTCTGGGGATCTCGGGCGTTTGTTCGCGACCTGTCTGCGGACAAGCTGTCCCCTCGTGCTTCTCCCTGCGTCTTCCTCGGGTTCCCCCCCGACGCCCCTGGGTGGCAGTTTTACCACCCCACCTCTCGACGTGTTCTGTCCTCCCAGGACGTCACGTTCGACGAGTCGGTACCCTACTACCGCCTCTTCCCCTACCGCACTCCTGCATGTGAACTGGCCTCTGGCCTTGCTCTTGTGCTCGGACTGTGTGGTGACTTTGTGATCCACCCTGAGCTTGTTTTGCTTTGCTTGACTGGTCTTGTGACCCCTTGTTCTCCCCCACTTTGCCTATGGGGGTGTGTCAGATTATTATAGCTGATGCATGTTTGTAGGCTATAGTGGGGTAGCACATATGGGGTACAGTTTGCTAGGGTTGTATTTGTACCCAACTCTGACTTAGTCAATTCATTCCTCTGCTCATAGTTTCACAGGTATACGCCATTCAGGTGGCGCCAGGCATTGAGGGCTGTAGCAGGGGAGGTCTTGTATGAGCGAATGCTCAATTGCTCTGTCGGCGACATGTTCCGCAAAAGAACCCCATACGCCATCAGGGACTCGTTGTAGTACTTGGTTTTTGCGTCGTCAGTATCTTCCGCAGGCCCCAAGTAGCTTCCGTCGAAATAATGATAAATCTGCGCGTTTTGCAGTAGCAGCTCCAGCTCAAAGCTCCAGGTACAGAGTCTCTGCCGTCAAAGCACGCACTTGTCTTTATTTTTGATATGCTAAAAAACCTTGATTGCGCAGAGAGAATTGCTTCATCGCTGGGACAGGAAGTCTTGGGGGTTGAGCCGTTCGTATCGAGAGAGAAGCCTTGCGGGGCGGAGTTCTGGCCGTTTGAGGCCGGTTGAGTAGGTTGGGAAGAGGTTCCCGCATCGCCATTCCGCAATGTCTGGAGCCCTTGCTCTAGGCTTGTGAGTCGTTGAAGCAGTTGTGCGAGGACGGCGGAAGGAATCGTCGTCGTTTCCTCGTTTGTCGCAGCCGGGTTGGGCTGCGCTTCAGCTATCAGATTCGTCTGACCTCCAGATCCTCCGGCCATTCTTACACGTGATCGTGTGCCGGACGCCACTTTCCGAATGTCGCAGATTTCGGAGATGGCGGTGCGAAGGATTCCTGAGTCGTTCTGATACCATGTTAGAATCAGAAAGTGATCGTAACCAGGATCACCTCAGGAAGGTTCGCACAATTCTGGTCTAGTGGTGGTGGGCCCTTGACCTCAATAGCAGAGTGAATGTAAATGCTTGAGATAATAAAAACGTGCAGTACAAGGAATATAAATATGAGTACAGGGGAATTCGAAACGACCTAACTAGCCATGTACTCTAAGGGGTACATTCCCTTATTGCAGCGAAATCCAACCGTGCGACTCCGAGTGGTTACGTAACTGTTCGGGCAGAATCCTCGCCACTGCTGCTGCCTGATGCTGTCTGCCCGACGGTCCAGATGCTCCTCGTAACCGTCTGTCCCTTTGCCTTTCTTCTGCCTTTTCGTCTTCACTCTCGATAGTGCGTGCTTCGGCTTTGCTACGGTGAGGAGTGCGCAACGGTGTTTTCCATTAACCACTATTCGTAACAAATCCTACTAGGTACGAGTGTACTTGACCGGAAGTACTGGGAATATCAGATTCCCGCGGTGTTAGCAGGGCCTGTCGTTGACTATCGGACAATTTTGCCCACACTGATGGCCCCTTAGTTGGTGCGCCTGGTCCGTTCATTGGCCACATTTGCAACATTAAGTGACTTGACCGATTACAAGGTTGCAGCACAGAGATGTTGGCAGGCTGCGCTGCAAAGGATTCTGGCGGTCTAGGTCGTGCTGGCAAGCACTGATGCATCCACGCCTCCCATCCGTGCTACCTGCCATCCAGCCTCACATCCCGTTCAGCTGTTTGCTTCCTTCCTAGTGTTTTTACTACTAGTAAAATAAAGACTAATAGTATCAGCCTTTTTTTGTAGGGAACACTGATGCATCAGACTTTTTTTTTAAGTAACACTGAACTTTCAGGCTTTTTTTTTAGGCGACCCTGACGATCAGGGTCTAGGGGCAGAGGGACCCTGATACCCTTACGTGCCTAAAAGTGAATCTGAGGGCCTGACCCTAACCTATAGGGTTTGGGAGGTGGTCCACTCTAAAGAGTGTACACCACAAGTTCTCCCAACCCAACCAATATATTCTACACTACTATAGTGTCATGTACCACTACTGTAGTGGTACATGACACTATAGTCATGTGTCCCACCGACTGGCGCTGCAGCGGACTGCAATGCGTTGGGAACAACTTTGCCAACTGCTTTGGCTTCCTTTGCACTGGCTAGATGCTGTCCACTTGTCCCACCAGCTGAATGGCCACTTTGCTGCAACTATACCTGGTTTGCTCCAGTGACGCCATGTTTTCTGCTGTGCCAGAGCCGTTTACGGTTTGCAGTGCTGCTGGCTGGTCTGCATTGGCTACTGACCTGGGAAGGCATTTTCTTGGATATCTTATCTGCGTAAATGCCATTCCCTCATTCACCGTAATGTTTGACTCGTACTGAACTCACATGTTTTTTTACTAGTGCATTCCTGAAACTAAGGCAGTTTTAGAGTCTGATAGCGAGGATGAGTATGCAAGTAATTGAATGATTATAAATAAATTGTCAAGTATGTGAGTTGATTTAAATCTAATAAGTACATATTAGTGGCAGTGTGCGGAAAAATCTCACACTGGAGTTGCAGGGTAAAAATTTAAAACGGATATGTTACACTGCTCTGGCAGTGTAATGAAGAAGTTCACACTGCTCAGAAGGGTTTTTAAAAAAGCTACACTGCCAATCGTGAGTTAGCCAAATCCAAAACGAAGCCCTGCCACTACATATGTTTATTGGAGCAACCCGAATTAACCTTAATTCCAACACTTAACAACCAATGCACAGAACTTCACCAAACACCGCTGTTCCCCAAGCATGTGAAATGACAACCACAGCTCCACTAACTGTGCCCTGACACCGCTGCATGCTGTCCTGTTGGAAAGGAAGTGAAGCATGCATCCAAAGGGCGCATTCATATACTCCTACACATTACCGTTACTCTGGATTCCTTTGCAGCCCACATACATCCATCGCGGCAAGGATATCATCCGACAATGGAGCCGTAAACGTAATTGGTAACTTTGTAACTGGATGTTCAAACGTCAACGTGTGCGCATGTAACGCTTGTCTGTGTAACACCCCAACCTTCTCAATCTCCCCACTCCAGCCCAACCCAACCCTCCACACCGCAAAAGTTTCCACAACCCTTTTCACACCCAATTCACCATCCTTTTTTATGTAGCCCTCTTCGCTCTGCCATCCTTCATCCTCGCTATACTGCTCCTCACTTAGACTAGAGAGTCCCTCAGTTTGATCAGAGTGTGTCTCCTCGAGTTGGCTATAGCACTCCCTACAGTGCTCACCCCACATGAGAGGCAGGGCGCCATAGATATGGTCTGCTAGCACAGGCAGCTTGGCGTGCTGTAGATGCACCCTGATTTGGTGCGTTCTTCCTGTTACTGGGACGGCTTGTAAAAGGGATACCCTGATGGGTAAATGAAGAGGCGGCAGGGGGGAAGGGGAGAGGGAAGGGAGGCGAGGCGTGGGGGAGAGAGACAAGAACTGGGATTGGCCTTGTGCGCTTGAACACAAGTGCAAGGTGACGGTGGAGCAATGCAGTGGAGGGGTGCAAAGCAATGCAGCGGGTGCAAGGCAATGCACAGGAGTGCAAGGGAATGCAGAGGGGTGCAAGGAAATGCAAATGGTCTCAGTGCACAAGCATCATACCCCGAAGCTTCACTTCTTGCGAGCACACTGAACTCTGTCCTTGCCTCCTGTATCTTGCTCTCCTTTTTCTGCGTCCCGCTCCCACACTCTTCCTTTTTCTGCGCCCCGCTCTCTTCCACACTCTCTCCCACTCCCTCCTTGCCTCCTTCCGTCCCCTCCTTCCCTGTCTCCTCTCCCTTCCTTTCCATGTGCTTGTCAGCCACTCCGTCTCCCCTCATTTCCACAATATCCTCTCCCACAACCATGCGTGCAAACTCGTGGTCAGGGTCGCGTGCAATGGGGGCATCGACTGTGAACGACTCCAAACGAGGCAGCCCCACCACCAGCACCAGATACTGCTTCGCCACCTGGGAGGGGCAGGGAGAATCAAAGACACAGAGGAAGTCAAACTCATGGTCAGGGTCTCGTGCAAGGGGAGCATCGACAACAAACGGGTCCGAAGGAGGCAGCCCCAGCACCAGCACCAGATACTGCTTCGCCACCTGGGAGGGAGTGGAACCAACACACACAGAGGACAAGGGAGCAACAGACAAGGGGGCATCAGATAGGTCATGGTGAGTATGGGTCTCGTGCAATGGGAGCATCGACAACAAACGAGTCCGAAGGAGGCAGCCCCACCACCAGCACCAGATACTGCTTCGCCACCTGGGAGGCGGTCAAAGCATGGCAAATCGGGACCAACACAGAGGGAAGGGCCGCAACTGACAGAAGGAAGCAAGTAAGTCATGGCCATGGGGGTCTCGTTCGCCCGAAAGAAGATCTTGTGCCATAAGGACCTTGTGCCATAAGGACCTTGTGCCCTAAGGACCTTGTGCCATAAGGACCTTGTGCCCTAAGGACCTTGTGCCTTAAGGACCTGGTGCCAGAAGGACCTTGTGCCATAAGGACCTTGTGACCTAAGGACCTTGTGCCATAAGGACCTTGTGCCCTAAGGACCTTGTGCCATAAGGACCTTGTGCCATAAGGACCTTGTGCCATAAGGACCTTGTGCCATAAGGACCTTGTGCCCTAAGGTCCTAGTGCCATAAGGACCTTGTGTCATAAGGACCTTGTGCCCTAAGGACCTTGTGCCCTAAGGACCTTGTGCCCTAAGGACCTGGTGCCCTAAGGACCTTGTGCCCTAAAGACCTTGTGCCATAAGGACCTTGTGCCCTAAGGACCTTGTGCCATAAGGACCTTGTGCCATAAGGACCTTGTGCCATAAGGACCTTGTGCCATAAGGACCTTGTGCCATAAGGACCTTGTGCCATAAGGACCTTGTGCCCTAAGGACCTTGTGCCATAAGGACCTTGTGCCCTAAGGACCTTGTGCCCTAAGGACCTGGTGCCATAAGGACCTTGTGCCCTAAGGACCTTGTGCCATAAGGACCTTGTGCCATAAGGACCTTGTGCCATAAGGACCTTGTGCCATAAGGACCTTGTGCCATAAGGACCTTGTGCCATAAGGACCTTGTGCCATAAGGACCTTGTGCCATAAGGACCTTGTGCCCTAAGGACCTTGTGCCCTAAGGACCTTGTGCCATAAGGACCTTGTGCCCTAAGGACCTTGTGCCCTAAGGACCTTGTGCCATAAGGACCTTGTGCCATAAGGACCTTGTGCCCTAAGGACCTTGTGCCATAAGGACCTTGTGCCATAAGGACCTTGTGCCATAAGGACCTTGTGCCATAAGGACCTTGTGCCCTAAGGACCTTGTGCCCTAAGGACCTTGTGCCATAAGGACCTTGTGCCATAAGGACCTTGTGCCATAAGGACCTTGTGCCATAAGGACCTTGTGCCATAAGGACCTTGTGCCCTAAGGACCTTGTGCCATAAGGACCTTGTGCCATAAGGACCTTGTGCCATAAGGACCTTGTGCCATAAGGACCTTGTGCCATAAGGACCTTGTGCCCTAAGGACCTTGTGCCCTAAGGACCTGGTGCCCTAAGGACCTTGTGCCCTAAGGACCTTGTGCCATAAGGACCTTGTGCCATAAGGACCTTGTGCCATAAGGACCTTGTGCCCTAAGGACCTTGTGCCATAAGGACCTTGTGCCCTAAGGACCTTGTGCCCTAAGGACCTTGTGCCATAAGGACCTTGTGCCATAAGGACCTTGTGCCATAAGGACCTTGTGCCATAAGGACCTTGTGCCATAAGGACCTTGTGCCCTAAGGACCTTGTGCCCTAAGGACCTTGTGCCATAAGGACCTTGTGCCCTAATGACCTTGTGCCATAAGGACCTTGTGCCCTAAGGACCTTGTGCCATAAGGACCTTGTGCCATAAGGACCTTGTGCCATAAGGACCTTGTGCCCTAAGGACCTTGTGTCATAAGGACCTTGTGCCATAAGGACCTTGTGCCCTAAGGACCTTGTGCCCTAAGGACCTTGTGCCCTAAGGACCTTGTGCCATAAGGACCTGGTGCCATAAGGACCTTGTGCCCTAAGGACCTTGTGCCCTAAGAACCTGGTGCCCTAAGGACCTGGTGCCCTAAGGACCTTGTGCCCTAAGGACCTTGTGCCCTAAGGACCTTGTGCCCTAAGGACCTGGTGCCCTAAGGACCTTGTGCCCTAAGGACCTTGTGCCATAAGGACCTTGTGCCATAAGGACCTTGTGCCATAAGGACCTTGTGCCCTAAGGACCTTGTGCCATAAGGACCTTGTGCCATAAGGACCTTGTGCCATAAGGACCTTGTGCCATAAGGACCTTGTGCTTGTGCCATAAGGACCTTGTGCCATAAGGACCTTGTGCCATAAGGACCTTGTGTCATAAGGACCTTGTGCCCTAAGGACCTTGTGCCATAAGGACCTTGTGCCCTAAGGACCTTGTGCCATAAGGACCTTGTGCCCTAAGGACCTTGTGCCATAAGGACCTTGTGCCATAAGGACCTTGTGCCCTAAGGACCTTGTGCCCTAAGGACCTTGTGCCCTAAGGACCTTGTGCCCTAAGGACCTTGTGCCATAAGGACCTTGTGCCATAAGGACCTTGTGCCCTAAGGACCTTGTGCCATAAGGACCTTGTGCCATAAGGACCTTGTGCCATAAGGACCTTGTGCCCTAAGGTCCTTGTGCCCTAAGGACCTTGTGCCCTAAGGACCTGGTGCCCTAAGGACCTTGTGCCCTAAGGACCTGGTGCCCTAAGGACCTTGTGCCCTAAGGACCTTGTGCCCTAAGGACCTTGTGCCCTAAGGACCTTGTGCCCTAAGGACCTTGTGCCATAAGGACCTTGTCCCTAAGGACCTTGTGCCATAAGGACTTTGTGCCATGGGAGTCCATGATGGGACCATGGACTGAGAAAGAGTCCCATGATGGGACCTTGGACTGAGAAAGAGTCCCATGATGGGACCATGGACTGAGAAAGAGTCCCATGGTCTTGTACCACCAGGCAGGCCATACTAGCCTCACCCACCCCTCATCTACCCCCACCTCACCTGGTCTTTGGGAGAAAGGGCCTGCTGGAGATCCAGGGAGACAAGGCGAGTCTTGGCAAAGCAGATGACTCCGCTGCCCCACTTGCGCTGCCCCACCTGTTCTGCCCCACCTGCGCTGCCCGACCTGCTCTGCCCGACCTGCTCTGCCCGACCTGCTCTGCCCGACCTGCTCTGCCCCACCTGCTCTGCCCCACCTGCTCTGCCCCACCTGCTCTGCCCCAGCCACACCACCACTTCCCCCACCCACCCATGCCTCATCTGGTCCTGGGAACGAAAGGCTTGGTAGAGAGCCTGCGAGACGAGGCGGGCCTTGGCGAAGCACATGACACCGCTGGCCCACCTTATCTTCCTCACCTGCTCCCTCCCACCTCCTTTCGAGTTGACTCAAAAGAAGGCCTGGTGAAGAGCCTGGCATTGGGCGGGCCTTGGCGAAGCACATGACGCGACGCCGCTGGCCCACCTTATCTTCCTCACCTGCTCCCTCCCACCTCCCCTCCCTTCTCACCTGGTCTTTGGAGCGGAAGGCCGGTGGAGAGCCCGGAAATTGGGCGGGCCTTGGCGAAGCACATGACGCCACTGGCCGAACTTATCGTCCCCGCCTGCTCCCTCCCAGCTCCCCTCCCTTCTCACCTGGTCCCTCCCACCTCCCCTCCCTTCTCACCTGGTCCCTCCCACCTCCCCTCCCTTCTCACCTGGTCCCTCCCACCTCCCCTCCCTTCTCACCTGGTCCTGGGAACGGAAGGCCTGGTGGAGAGCCCGGGAGATTGGCCGAGCCTTGGCGAATCAGATGACACCACTGCCCCACCTTATCTTCCCCTCCGCCTCCCTCCCACCTCCCCTCCCTTCTTAGGGCGTATTCGTAGCTTCGTGTCATCCGAAAGTGTGGGAGCCAATCGGAATACTCGCGTTTCGAGCTTTGATTTTTTCAATTGGATCCCACAATTTCGGGTGACACGAATACGGGATGACACGAAGCTACGAATACGCCCTTACCTGGTCTTTGGTTCAAAAGGCCTGGTGGAGAGACCGGGAGACTGGCCGAGCCTCGGCGAATCAGATGACACCACTGCCCCACCTGCTCTCTCACCCTCATCTCCACCCCTCCCACCTCCCCTCCCTTCGTACCTGATCCTTGGTTCGAAACGCCTGGTGGAGAGCTTGGGAAATGGGGCGAGACTTGGCAAAGCAGATGACGCCGCTGCCGCTCCTGCTCTGCCCCACCTTCGGTCCACACCTCCCCACACCCCCCCACACCTCCCGCCACCTCACCTGATCCTTGGTTCGAAACGCCTGGTGGAGAGCTTGGGAAATGGGGCGAGACTTGGCAAAGCAGATGACGCCGCTTGTGTACATGTCCAGGCGGTGCACTGTGAATGGGTCGGCCTGCAAGTAATGTGCCTGTGAGTGTATGTGGTGTGAACACGAGTGAAGGGGAAATGGATAAATACAGAGGGTGGCGAAGCGGATGACACCACTCGTGTACATGTCCAGGCGGTGCGCTGTGAAGAGATCGGCTTGCAGGTAGTGTGCCTGGTTGGGTGGGGTTGCAGGCAGTAAGGGGAACGGACGAGCGTCCAAGGGGAAAGGTGCGGCGAAGCAGATGGCTCTGCTGGTGAACATGTCTAGTCGGTGCACTGTGAAGGGATCGGCCTGCAGGTAGTGCGCCTGTGAGTTTTGGTTGGATGGGGGATATGGGCATTACAGGGAATGAAGGAATGGCATGGGGAGGATGATGGTGCGAAGCAGATGACACCGCTGGTGCACATGTCTAGGTGGTGCACTGTAAAGGGGTGAGCGTTCAGGTAGTGCGCGTGTGAGTGGGGGGAGGGAGTGAATCGTTTTGTGTGCGCGGGAAAGGGAAAAGGGCTGGAGTGGCGAAGCAGATGACACCGCTGGGGAACATGTCTAGGCGGTGCACTGTGAAGGGGTCAGCCTGCAGGTAATGCGGCTGTGAGTGGGGGGAGAGGAGGGAGGGGTTGGGCAAAAGCAGATGGCTCCACAGGTGATCATGTCTAGGCAGTGCACTGTGCAGGGTTGAGCCTGCAGACAGTAACTTTTGAGTCGACTCAGAAGCCACTGTGAAGGGTTGAGCCTGCAGGCAGTGCGCGTGTGAGTGGGGGGAGAGGATTCTAGAGGCGCCTCAAACGGTTGAGCCTACAGATAGAGTGTCTGGTGTGTTGGCGGGGTTGGGTGTGTTGTGTGAGTGTGAAAAGAAGCGATAGTGCGGGCAGGTGGCAGATTTATCAAAGCAATGCGTAGAAACAGCACAAACGTGCCTCAAGAAAGGCCCAAGAAAGTGTAATGGGTCACTTCCCAGTGAAACCTACAGGCGCTACAGACCCTCAGCATGGACTAGCGTTGACGGTTGACCAGAGTTGACCAGCGTTGACCGCTGACTGACTCACCACTCGGTTGACCAGTGCTCCCCCCACGAATCGGTGCAGCGGCGAGTGCTTCACTCCTGCTGGTTTGTTGACCACCTGGGTAGTTATCGAGGGGTTAACGAGATAGGTTGCGGAGAGGGTTTGAGTGATAAAGCCATTCTCGTGAAGCAGCACAGATGATTCCCTCCTCCTGGTTTGTTCACCACCTGGTGTAATTATTGAGGGGTTAAGGAGATAGGTTGCGGAGAGGGGTGAGGAGAGGGTTGAGGAGAGGGGTGAGGAGAAAGGTTGAGAGGAGAAGTTGATTGAAGGGGTTCAGTCAAAGACAATTGATAATGAGCTGTTTTCAGGAAGCAGCGCTTCACCCCTGCTGGCTTGTTAACACCCGCCAAGAACCAATCATAAGTCAGGGATAACACCAGTAGCCAATCAGAATTCAGCGCTGCTCACCAGTATCCAATCATCTTCAAACAACACGTCAAGCGGCTCGGCGTCCCGCACCAATGGCGGCTTTACTTTCTTGGCCTGCCGCGGCTTCTTAGGTTTCGCATTCGCATCACGAGCTGACGCACTTTGATTCGAGCTGAAAGCAATCTCGTTACAACTAGCTGGCGAATCCCCTGTAACGAGATCACGTTCGCTTGGATCATCGCCGACCAATGGCGGCTCTGCAGAGGGGCGTGTCGCAGACATTGACGAAACCCGTCCATTGTCCCCGCTTGGACCCTCGATCTCTTCGCGATCAGTCGAAAGTCCTATCGTTATCCGATTCCTAGTTTCAACTTCAGCTGAAGGTGGAGTCTGCTTTTGAGGCGCATCAAAAACAGACTCGATCCCTTCGCGATCAGTCGAAAGACCTATCGTTATCTGATACCTAGCTTCAACTTCAGCTGAAGAAGGTACCCGAATGTCATGTTCTGCCCGTGTTTGGCCGTGTTCCGGAATTTCAGGGTCGGCAAGACGAAAGGAGCCGTCGGATTCGGCATCTGCGCTCTCTCCAGCGGATGCAGCGTGAGCTCGGTGGACGACTCTCGTCGCGCGAAGGCACAGTTGCGGAACCTTCGATTGAGTCACAACCTGTCCGTATCTCCGGGCGCTGCGACGTACTAACGGGGTGTATGGTGAGGGATGCAAAAGCTGCGAGAGAGCCTTCACTACGGGAGCGTACATTGCCGCCCTAGGTGTCACCCCCGAGTCAACTCTAAAGTCACCAGGGAATTGCCGCGTCAGATACGAGTGTGACGTGTCAACCTGTAATGGCCACTAATCCCATCCCAAGCTGATGCTCTAAAGCGGCGCGGTTGCTGATGAGAAATGGTCCGCCCTCTGAGAGAACAAAACTACGAATTGGCGATCAACGAGGTAAAATGGCGATGTCGTTTGACCTAGTCCTGAAAGTTATGAGGTAACTTGTCGTAGAGTAAGGTCGGGAGACTTAGATACGCGAAATCAATCTCCACCGGATCTAACGGCTCAGACTGCGCCATCGAAAACGTTGTTCATCACACAAGCGAAGATAAATGTTACGGGTGCAATGAATCGAGGTAGCGAGAATTGCACTAAGGTGTCAAACGAGTACAAAATGTGAGCGAAGGCATGAGCGAGCATTTATACGCGAAACATGCAAAACGGTAACGCGGTGCGTGCGAACTTGCTAGTGCTACGCTGGAGCGAGGCTCGGGCTAGTCCCGAAGCGTAGGCCGATACGGCCATGCCAGCAGTGCGAGGTTTGGCAAAACAGTGCGCGCGAAGTCGGCGAAGTTCCGTTAGCAGTAACGGGCGAACAGTCGGCTGTTGCTGTACGCGATGTAGTCGGCTCCGTAAGGAATGCCTGAGAAAATTCCTTACACTACCCCCCCCCCCTTAAGAAGCCCCCTCCGCTACGCGAGTGCGTGTATATCCCGGAATCCCCGGCTTCTCAAGTACACTTGCAGGGCAGGGTGATTTTCGATGTTGCTCAGGGGCACCCAGCTATCTTCAGTTGGCGTGCGGTCTTTCCAGCGAACGAGGAATTCAATCCTCCTGATTCCCGTGGGGTGGCGGATCCGATGGCTCAAAAATTTCTCGGGCTCGATGATCGGCTCTGATGCAGGGCGAGTCATTGATTGTGGCCGGTGACGCGGCAGTTGACTCGTGGTCGGGATGTATGGGCGAAGTAGGCTGACGTGGAACGAAGGGCTGATGTACCAGTCAATTGGCAACAGTAGGTGCGCGGTGACGGGTGTGATCATGTGACTGATTTGGAATGGTCCACAGTAGCGCGGTCGTAATTTTGGTACGTCGGGCAGTCGCAGATTTTGCGTGTCGAGTAGCACGTAATCTCCAGATTGATACGTGACGGGGCGGCGGTGGCGATCAGCGTTGCGCTTAGCGATGACGTTGGCCTTTTTTATTGCTTCGGCGGCTCTGGCGCGGGCAGCTTGCAGGATTTCGGCGAATTGTTGTGCGCGTGGCGTGGGGTTGTCCGGACTCGGCGTCATGGGCACTGTGGGGTTCTGCCCATAGTTCAGGTAGAACGGGGACTGCTGCGTCGTGGTTGATGTGGCGTTGTTGTACGCGAACTCGATCAGCGGCAGCTGCTGCTCCCAGGTCGTGGGGTCGTCGCACGTGGCACGAATCAACTGCTCCATCGTCTGATTCGTCCGCTCCGTTTGGCCGTCGGTCTCGGGGTGGTACGACGAACTGAACTGTAGCCTGGTCCCGAACTGCTCCCAGAGGTTCTTCCAGAAGTTGCTGGTAAACTTCGTGTCCCTGTCGCTGATAATTGCTGCTGGTATCCCGTGCAGGCGAACAACGGCTGCGATGAACAGGCGAGCGGTCTCTTCGGCTGAGATCGACTTTTTGCACGCAGCGAAGTGTGCCATCTTCGTCAACCTATCCACGACGACCATCACCGCGTCGTTACCCCCAGGGTTCGAAGGTAACCCTGTGACGAAGTCCATGGTTACTTGCTGCCAGGCGCGTTCGGGCGGTGGGATCGGCTGCAATTGACCCGCCTTCCGCTTCCTTGAACTCTTCATCACCTGACACGTCGGGCACGAGCCCACGTGCTGCTGTACGTCGGTCAACAGCTCCGGCCAGTAATAGTACCGCTGCAGTTGCTGTCGTGTTTTTTCTACCCCGAAATGTCCCGAGGTAATCCCGTCGTGTGCCTCCTGCAGCAGCAGCTCCCTCAGTAGTGAGTACGCGGGTACCCAAATGCGGTTGGTGCCTGTTTTTACGTAATAAACTCCTTTTGCTTCTGCCAGTTGCTGTGAATTTCCGGTCGTGAAAAATGGGTCGGTGCGGTATCCGTGGGTGAATAGGCCAGTTAAAAGCGGGTTGGTCTGGGCGAGTAGGATGGCGTGGAGTTGGGCGGTGGGGCGGGTGAGAGCGTCGGCGATGTTGGATGCTCCTTTTTTGTACGTGACGGTGTAGTGAAAATTGGACTCGAGATAGTCCAACCAGCGAATCTGTCGTGGGTTGAGATTCGGTTGGGCGCGAAGGTACTGTAGCGAGCGGTGGTCTGTCCGTACTGTCACGTCGGCACCAGTCAGGTAACATCGCCAAACTTTGAACGCGTGCACGATCGCTAGCATCTCGCGGTCGTGTATCGGGTAGTTACGTTCGGGCGGGTGTAACTTGCGGGACTCGTACGCGATTGGCTGGAGGCCATTCCCGAAATCCTGCAACAGTACTGCTCCCACAGCGATGTCACTTGCGTCGGTGACGAGCTCGAACGGACGGTGGGGATCTGCAATGTGAAGGACGGGCGGGGAGCACAAATATTTTTGAGGGCCGAGAAGGCAGCTTGCTCTTTCTCCCCCCACGTGTACTCAACCCCCTTCCTCAGCAGGTCAGTCAACGGGGCAGTCAGTTTCGCCATGTCGGGGACGAACCGGCGCACGTAGTTGACGAACCCCAGGAAACTCTGCAACTCGGTCAAGTTGGTCGGCGCGTGCCAAGCCTGAATCGTCGCAATTTTCTTCGGGTCTATTTCCACTCCTGCAGCTGAAATAACATGTCCCAAAAACTCCAGGCGGTCCTGTAAAAACTCACACTTAGATGCTTTGGTCAGTAGGCGGTTCTCACTCAGGATTTTAAAAACTGCTTCGATGTCTTGTAAGTGCTGTGCTCTGTCAGGGCTGTAAATCAGTATGTCGTCCAGATAAACGATGACGCACTTATCTAAAAGCGGGCGGAATGCTTCGTTCATGGTCATTTGGAAAGTGGCGGGGGCGTTGGTCAGTCCGAATGGCATGACGGTGTATTCGAAGGATCCGTAGCGTGTTCGGAATGCGGTTTTAGGGCAGTCGGGTGGGTTGACGCGGATTTGGTGGTATCCTCCCCGGAGGTCGATTTTCGAGAAAACCCGGGCTGTGCGCAGTTGGTCGATCAGTTCGTCGGCTCGTGGGATGGGGTAACGGGATTTGATGGTAACCCTGTTCAGTGCCCTGTAGTCGATGCACATGCGAAAACCCCCGTCCTTTTTCGGTGTGAACAGTATTGGTGCGGCGAAAGGCGACGAACTAGGGCGAATGAATTCCTTTTCTAGCAGGTAATCGAGCTGCTTCCTTAGTTCGTCTAATTCGGGTTGGGTCAGTCGGAACTGTCGCTGTACTGTTGGCTGTGCCCCCGGTTCCAGTTCTATCCTGTGATCGTGCGGTCGCTGAGGTGGCAGTCCCGTCGGCAGGTCATCCGGGAAAATGTCACTGTACTGTTGTAACAGTGCCGCCAGGTCACTCGGTACGTCGGTCAGCAGTTTCTGTAAATCGCCTCCCTTGTCTGCTGCCTCGGCTTCCCGAATGTCAACCGCGTACACGTCGGCTCCGGCCGCAACAGCGCGTTTCATCGTGATCGCGTTGACACGCACCGACGAAGACTCAGGCGAGCCCCAGCGAGGTAAGGCGATGCTGTTACCGTTCACTCGCACGGTGCAGTCACCCGTCGTCCAGTCAATTCGCGGGTTGTGTCGTCGCAGCCAATCACGCCCGAGTAAAATGTCGGTTCCGTCGAGGGTCGTTGCGAGCATTTCCTGACTAAACGTGAAGTTACCCCCGCATCGAATCCGAACTCGGTCTACGCGTTCCCGTATTGCCAGCGGCGTGCCGTCTACCAGTCGTGCGTCGATCTCAGGTAAGCATCGGTCCAGTGGCAGTCGCAATTTTCGTGCTGTAGCAGTGTTAATGAGGCTGTGGCTGGCTCCCCCATCTACGAAGATTTTAACTAAGTCCGTCCCAATTTTCCCACTGAGCAGTATAGGGCTATCTACCGTGGTACCCTCCTTATTCGGCCGGGTGTGGTCGATTGCGTGAACCGGCACAATCACTCGGTGAGGGTCGGTTGGGTCGGGCGAGCGGCGTGACCTGTCAGTAGAGGGCCCGTCTGCTACTGACTTCCAGCGTTTCCCTGCTGCTTGGTCTGTGTCTGCTGCTCAGCTTCCCCCTTTCCCTTAGCGTTTTCCGGGCATTCGCTCTTGCGATGTCCCGGCCGATTGCACGCAAAGCAGCGCCCTTTGAACGGTGCGGCAGCGGCATTTGCGGCGACGGCGCGTATCGTGGCGCTCTCGTTCGTCCCACGAGGCCGATGTCCCCAGGTGTTGTTTCCGTAGGACCCCGGTCTCGGTCGGCGAAAGAAGTCGAGCTTCTCCGCCATAGCGAGAATTTCCTGAAACTCAGTGACGCCGCGAAGCTGGATTTCCTGAGCGATGTCCTGCTTCAGGCCGCCGATGTAGCGGTCGATGCGTTCGCTCTCATGCATGTAGCCCACCTGCTCGCATAGCGCCAGAAATCCGCTCGTGTAATCCTGGACGGAACCGAGTTGGCGCCAAGTGCGGAGCTTCTGTCGCGCCGAGATCGAGGCCGCGATTGGCTCAAATCGAGCGCGCAGACCTGCGCACCACGCGTCCCACGTGCGATACTGGGGCACCTCCACGAAATACGACGGCGCCCAGGGTCCGGTTTGTCCTTCCCGTGTCGGTAGTGTCGCGTAGTCGGTCGGCTTCGTGACGATGACGCGCCACCAGTCCATGGCGGGTCCTCGCAGCAACGACACGGCGTATCGAATCTTCGCCGAGTCCTCCGAGACGTAGTTGGCGTCGAAGAAAACATTCATTGTGAATAACCACGCCTGAACGGTAGGACCACCCCGTTGACTCGGGTCAAAGCATGGCGGGCGCTGCGGTTTCAGCGGCATCGGTGACGGCAGTCCCGAATCGTGGGTTGGTGCCGAAATCGTGACGCGAGGCTGACTTGGGGCCGCAGGCGTCGCTCTGGGGTGTGTCGTGCCGTGGTCGTCGTCTCCGTCGGGGCGGACGACGCCATCACTGGCCGCGCTCGCGGGTTGCCCCACACTCCCGTGTTGTGATGTTGAGGGTGCAGGTTGAATCGGAGTGCCAGGTGCTTGGGATTGTGCTCTCATGAGGTCATTTTGCAGTGATGAGCGTTCTGCCGTCAATGCCGCGATTTCCTCGGAGCTTTCGTGCAGTTGTCGCAGCAGATCGTTCAAACGCTCCTGCGTGAGAGTGGTGACGTCGATGTTTTCGGCCATGACGAAGGGCGTCGGCTCGTCTTAGTCTAGGCGCAGTCGTGGCTGCACGCGTTTACGAGAGAACGCGAGGACAGCGGCTCCTAGGGGCTAAGGTGCGTGAGTCCCTTCGAGTGAAAAATCAAAAGTTGATTTCCTGGTGTGCGGAGATGCGCGGTCCGAAAGAAAGGGGCTCTGATAACCAAGTGTTACGGGTGCAATGAATCGAGGTAGCGAGAATTGCACTAAGGTGTCAAACGAGTACAAAATGTGAGCGAAGGCATGAGCGAGCATTTATACGCGAAACATGCAAAACGGTAACGCGGTGCGTGCGAACTTGCTAGTGCTACGCTGGAGCGAGGCTCGGGCTAGTCCCGAAGCGTAGGCCGATACGGCCATGCCAGCAGTGCGAGGTTTGGCAAAACAGTGCGCGCGAAGTCGGCGAAGTTCCGTTAGCAGTAACGGGCGAACAGTCGGCTGTTGCTGTACGCGATGTAGTCGGCTCCGTAAGGAATGCCTGAGAAAATTCCTTACAATAAACCACAAAGCACTGCGTTACAACCTGCCTCATTCTAAGAGAATAGGTGGCCTCTTTCATTTTCTTGTAGTCTTCAAATGTGTAACAAACTGTCTTGATTTGAAACAACACTCAACCGTTCTCTTTGCACCAGACTTGATTGAGCACAACCATAAAGAAAGCCGTCACAAATATGAGGGGAAAAAATATTGAAAAACTGATCCAGATGTATGCGAACTTCCCCAGATTTAGTTAGCTGCCCCCATGCATCTCCTTCCCAAGCTTCTGAATCTGCAGAGGGAGGGGATTATAAATTATAATAGAAATATAAATGCAAATCACTGAGCTGACACTGAATTAGATTTTGATAAACGGCGCAAATGGTGCCCCTACCGCACAGGCGCAAAATATATGAGCACATCTCACGCCCACAGACACATCATTTGATCACATCCCACACCATGCCCAGTCTTGCAAGGCCCTGCATCGCCATGCATCTGCGATATCGATGCCATGCCATGTCATGCCATGCCATACCTCATGCCGAGCATGCCACCATATCGTATTGCGTTGCCCTATCACCCCCTTCACCTCCCCCTCTCACCTAATCCACCTGCATGTCGATTTGCTCGCATCCATGCCATGTCACAGCAGACATTTTATGCCATGCTTATCCCATCATTCACTCCACCTTCCATTCGTCACTCGCTCACCTGATCCACCAGCATGTCAATCTGCTCGCGGTACATCTGCTTCACATCCATCACGCAAAGCCATGCCACACCACACTATGTTGTGTAATGCCCTCCCACCATCCCTTCACCCCCTTCTCCCCTTCCCCCCCCCCCCCCCACTCTCACCTAATCCACCAGCATGTCGATTTGCTCGCAGTACATCTGCTTCACATCCATCATGCTATGCCACACCATGTCGGGTTGTGTCATGCCATCCCATCACTCCCTTTCCTCCCCACCCCCCTCTCACCTGATCCACCAGCATGTCAATCTGCTCCCAATACATCTTCTTCACAACATCACGCCATGTCATGCCACACCGCATCAAGTTCCGTCACCCCATCTTATCACCCCATTCTTCCCCCATCCCCTCCTTACCTGATCCACCAGCATGTCGATCTGCTCGCGATACATCTGCTTCACATCCATCAGGTCAGCCCTTAGCTCCTCCACCTGCCATGCACCACAGCAGCAGCAGGGAGACACAGGAGAACATTGTGTTGGGGGTGCTTCGCCAACAGCCTCGGCTGGTCACTCCCTTCAACCCATCACCACTCCTGGCCTTACATCCCAACCCAACTGTACCTGCTCGTCTCTCTCCCCCATGAGCTCCAGGGCAGAAGCATGCCGCCTCCTGATGGCTTTCAGCTCCGCCTTGAGCCCAGGCAGCTGAGTCACCTCACTGTGCAAACTCTCACACTCTCCCATATCCATCACACACCTCTCACCTGCTCCTCTCTCTCACCTGCTCCTATCTCTCACCTGTTCGTCTCTCTCCCCCATAAGTTCGAGAGCAGAAGCATGCCGCCCCCTGATCGCCTCCAGCTCCGCCTTGAGCCTCACCCTATCTATCTTCTATAATGCTCTGTATCTGTCTCTTTGCCTCTGCGTCTCCTTCTTTCCCCTACCTCTCCCCTCATCCCCCACACCTCTCACCTGCTCGTCTCTCTCCCCCATCAGCTCCAGAGCAGAAGCATGCCGCCTCCGTATTGCCTCAAGCTCTGCCTTCAGCCCTGGCAGCTGGGTCACCTCACTGCGCAGACTCTCACACTGCGTCGTCGTCTTTACAAGCTCTTCAGCTAGCGAGTCACGGGTGCTCTCCAGTGCGGCCTGATGGGAGGAGAGGAGGCAAGGGCGAAGGAGGAAGGGGTTTCAAGGAAGCTGAGTCACTTCGCTCTGCAGGCTCTCACAGTGTGCCGTCGTATGAGTTACTTAGCAACCTTTGAGGCGCCTCAAAAGTCCTCGAAACTAAAAAATTTTGAGGCGCCTCAAAAGTCCTTGAAACTCAAAAAAAATTTAGGCGCCTCAAAAGCCGCAGGCTCTCACACACAGTGTGCCGTCGTATGAGTTACTTAGCAACCGCAAATCCAAGCAAAGAACCCACCAGTCCCGCAGTGTGCATCACAACCTCTCTCTCCATCCTTCTGCCTCAACAGCGACTCCAAATGCCCCACAGTAGCTGCATTCGTTCAGCACACGATCACAGTATAACGCGCTGACACACCAGCACCCACGAGAAACGGCAATAGAAGCTCACACACGACCACAAAAGAAGCACCCCTCCACCGCACATGAAGGAGAGTCGCCAGTCTCACATCTGGACCATGCCTCACCAGCCTTGCATTGTGTGTGGCGATTTCCCCATCCTTCTGCCTCAGAAGCGACTTCAAATGCTCCACAGTCGCAGCAATATGCACACGGACTAGCAAGCCTCTACAAAGGAGCGCTCAGCAACCACACATCCAAGAAGGAGACTCACCAGTCTTGCAGTGTGAGTGGCGATTTCTCCATCTTTCTGCCTCAGAAGCGACTCCAAATGCTCCACAGTCGCAGCATTCGCAGCACTGGGCCTCAGCAGACCTCCACCACTCGCCCCTCCATACCCCATCCCCACCCCTCCCCCCATCCCTCCCCCCATTCCTCCCCCCAACGCCCCCATGGACGCACTAGCACCAAGCATCCCAAACCCCCCGCCCCCCCCGCCGCTGCTGCTGGTGCCGCCGATAATCGCCCCTGAGAGGAGGTCAGAGTGGGAGGAGGAGCCTCCAGGGAGCAGCGAGGCCGCGAGGATGCCCGACGCTGTTGCCTCCTCGATGGCACTGCTGCCCGCGCTGCTGCTGCTGGGGACCCGGCGGAGGGACTGGCGCACTGGATGGAAGAGAGGGGTGGAGAGGGGTGGAGAGGGGTGGGGAGGGAGCAGGAGGCAGGGGGAGGGCAGGGTGCAGGAGGCAAAGGGGTTGAGCCACCTATTATCGCTCCAGTGAGGAGGTCAGAGTTGGAGGAGGAGCCTTCAGGGAGCAGCGAGGCCGGGAGGATGCCCGACGCTGTTGCCTCCTCAATGGCACTGCTGCCCACGCTGCTGCTGCTGGGGACCCGGCGGAGGGACTGGCGCACTGGATGGAAGAGAGGGGTGGAGAGGGGTGAGGAGGGATGCGTGGAGGTGTTAAAGAACAAGCGAGGATGCCCGAGGCTGTTGCCTCCTCGATGGCACTGCTGCTGCTGGGGAATCGTTTCAAGGCTTGACGGACTGGGTGTGGGTGGGGAGGGGTGGAGAGGGGTGGAGAGGGGTGGGGAGGGAGCGGGAGGGAGGAAGCAGGCGTAACCTATCGACTGGCAAGCAGGACTGACCAGAGAGCTCAGGGTATTTCGAGTTCCATGGTCGGAGCCTGCTGCATCATGTTTAGAGGCGCCTCAAAACTAGCTCAGGGTATTTCGAGTTCCATGGTCGGAGCCTGCTGCATCATGTTTAGAGGCGCCTCAAAACTAGCTCAGGGTATTTCGAGTTCCATGGTCGGAGCCTGCTGCATCATGTTTAGAGGCGCCTCAAAACTAGCTCAGGGTATTTCGAGTTCCATGGTCGGAGCCTGCTGCATCATGTTTAGAGGCGCCTCAAAACTAGCTCAGGGTATTTCGAGTTCCATGGTCGGAGCCTGCTGCATCATGGGCTACGACTAGTGCCTTCTCCGCTCCAGCCCGCCCCTCTGAAGAGCTGTCCTCACCACTTGACCCACACGCTACACTGCACGATCCGCTTCGGAATGACTTGAAGAGCAGGACTGACCTGAGAGCTCGGGGTACGAGGAACCCGCTGCTGCATGCGCTGCTACCAGCGCCTTCTCTGCTGCAGCCCGTCCCTCTGAAGAGCTGTCCTCACCCCTTGACCCACGCGCTACGCTGCATCAGCCACTTGAAAAGGAGGTGACGAGCAGGGCCTACCTGAGAGCTCAGGGTAGGACGAGCCTGCTGCTGCATGCGCTGCAACCAATGCCTTCTCTGCTGCAGCCCGTCCCTCTGCCCGAATCTTCCTCTCGTGCTCAGCCATGGATGCCCGCTCGCTCTCCAGTTCCTGGGAAAAGGACAAGCACGGGCAGAAACGGAACAAGCGCGGGGAGTGAGGAGAAAGTTGAGCTTAATCGTCAGAGTTAACGGTGACTGGAGTGGTGCACACACGCTCACACACCTGCTCGAATCGAGATGAGTCTGAAGCCTTTTGACAATTTTCAAAAGCCCGGGGAGTGAGGAGACAGTTGAGCTTAATCGTCAAAGTTTACGGCGACTCGAGTGGTGAAGGACACCCTTACGCACCAGCTCAGATTGAGATGAGTCTGAAGCCTTTTCAGCACCACTGAACTCACCTGCTCTACAAGCTCCCTCCTCTGCCGCTCCTCCTGCACCTCCTTCCGCCACTGCGCCTTTACCTCGCTGCTACCTGATTGAACCCCCCCCCTCCTGGTACCTGATTGAACCGCTCTTAACACCACTGAACTCACCTGCTCAACCAGCTCCCTCCTCTGTCGCTCCTCCTGCACCTCCTTCCGCCATCTCCCCTTCACCTCCCTCATCTCCTCCTCCACCACTTTCACCCGCCCTTCCGCTGCAACCTTCGCCTCCTGCGCACTCAGATACTCCGTCCTGTTCTCCGCCACCCTTGCTCACTCACCTGCTTTTGAGGCGCCTGCGCACTCAAATACTTCGTCCTGTTCTCTGCCACCTTTATTCACCCACCTGCTCAAAGTGAGGTGACTTTCAAGTGTTTTTCAGCACCGCTGAACTCACCTGTTCAACCAGCTCCCTCCGCTGCCGTTCCTCCTGCACTTCTTTCCGCCACCGCCCCTTCACCTCCCTCAACTCCTCCTCCACCACTTTCACCCGCCCTTCCGCTGCAACCTTCGCCTCCTGCGCACTCAGATACTCCGTCCTGTTCTCTGCCGCCCGCTGGTGCTCCTTGTCGAGGGAGCGGGAGAGCTGGGAGTGCTCGGCGCGCAGGCAGGAGAGCTGGGCTTCCATGACTGCCAGGCGGGACAGCGTCTGGTTCAGCCGCTCGCTCGTCACCCGCTCCCTCTCCTCCGCCACTGCCGCCTTCGCCTCCGCCTCCTGGAAAAGGGGAGGTGTGGGGGAGGTTGGGAGTCAGCACTCTCAGCTTAGGACGAGGCATTTCAGGGAGCGAGTCAGCCTCACCCGCTCCCTCTCCTCCGCTACTGCCGCCTTCGCCTCTGCCTCCTGGAAAAGGGGAGAGGTCGTTGGGAAGGGCACCCAACAATATCATGCGAGGGGACTCAGGTTAGTCACCACTCGCCCCTTTTCCAGGAGGCAGTCGCGAGGGTAGTCCCGCTCGTCACCCGCTTCCCTCGTCACCCGCTTCCCTCGTCACCCACTTCCCTCGTCACCCACTTCCCTCCTGTTCTCTGCTCCCTCTCCTCTGCCACTGCCGCCTTCGCCTCTGCTTCCTGGAAGTGGGGGGTTCGGTGAAAAAAACAGGGAGAGTGTGTGAAAAAAGGAGAGTTGAGTGCCCGCTCCACCCCTGAGCGCCTCCATGTGCGTGTTGGCTGACTCCTGCATCGCCTCTATCTATCTGCCGCAGCAACCAGCCTTTCAATCGCCCTGGAAGGAAACCACTCCCCCACACACGCACCTGCAGCCGGGCATTCAGTGCCCGCTCCACCCCTGAGAGCGCTTCCATGTGCGTGTTGGCCGACTCTTGCATTGCCTCTATCTGCCGCAGCAGCGGGCGACTCAGCAATTACTCTCCATTTCCACTCGAAACCACTGCGTACCTGCAGCCGGGCATTCAATGCCCGCTCCACACCAGACAGCGCCTCCATGCGCGTGTTGGCCGACTCCTGCATTGCCTCTATCTGCCGCAGCATGCTTTCACAGTCAACCTGTAACCACAGGCACACACCCACCTGCAGCCGCGCATTCAATGCCCGCTCCACCCCTGAAAGAGCCTCTATGCGCGTGTTGGCCGACTCCTGCATCGCTTTGCCTCTATCTGCCGCAGCAGTCTCTCTAAGAGTCACCCTGTAACCACAAGCACACCCCAGATATCACAGTCACACAGCTACACACGCGCACCTGCAGCCGGGCGTTGAGTGCCCGCTCCACACCAGACAGCGCCTCCATGCGCGTGTTGGCCGACTCCTGCATTGCCTCTATCTGCCGCAGCAGCAGCGGGCCTTCACCGAGTCATGTACCCACAGTCACACACATACATACCGGGCATACCACATGAATTCTTTTTCATCTGCACCTGCAGTCGGGCGTTCAGCGCCCGCTCCACCCCTGAGAGGGCCTCCATGCGCGTGTTGGCCGACTCCTGCATCGCCTCTATCTGCCGCAGCAGCGGGCGGGTCGACTCTGGTATCCGAGCCACCAGCTCCTCGTGCCGAGCCTCCGCTGCCTGGCTCGGGGGGGAGGAACGGGTACAGGGGAGCAAAAAAGGAGTTTGATAGCAGGAGTGAGAAAACAGGAGAAGGCAGCAATGATTCTGAGTCACATACCACAGATTCCTCTTTTCTCCAGCACCTGCTCCCAATCACGCTGGTGCTCTCAAGAGGTATTCAACTCACCCGACATCTCTTCTCCATGTCCTCCAGATCCCTCCGCAGAATCTGCTCGCGGAACCCTGCCTGCTGCTCACCCCGTATAAGATACTTCAGTGCTATCTCCACTCACCTGGTACCGCTTCTCCATATCCTCAAGGTCCCTCCGCAGCATCTGCTCGCGGAACCCTGCCTGCTGCTCGCTCCGTGTGAGAGCCTGTCGGAGCTCCTCCACAGTCATCACCAGCGCCCTCTCCCTCTCCCCCACCTCCCTCAACCTCCTCTCTGCCTCTGCCTTTGCCTCTCAACTCACCTGCCTGGCACCGCTACTCCATATTTTCAAGGGTTGAGAACGGTTGAGGGAGAGACAGACAGAGAATCTTTCCACGCACCTGACACCTCTTCTCCATATCCTCGAGGTCCCTTCTCAGCATCTGCTCTCGGAACCCTGCCTGCTGTTCGCTCCGTGTGAGAGCCTGTCGGAGCTCCTCCACAGTCATCACCAGCGCCCTCTCCCTCTCCCCTGCCTCTTTAAACTTCCTCTCTGCCTCTGCCTTTGCCTCTCAACTCACCTGCCTGGCACCGCTTCTCCATATTTTCAAGGGTTGAGAACGGTTGAGGGAGAGACAGACAGAGAATCTTTCCACACACCTGACACCGCTTCTCCATATCCTCAAGGTCCCTCCGCAGCATCTGCTCGCGGAACCCTGCCTGCTGCTCGCTCCGTGTGAGAGCCTGTCGGAGCTCCTCCACAGTCATCACCAGCGCCCTCTCCCTCTCCCCCACCTCCCTCAACCTCCTCTCTGCCTCTGCCTTTGCCTCTCAACTCACCTGCCTGGCACCACTTCTCCATATTTTCAAGGGTTGAGAACGGTTGAGGGAGAGACAGACAGAGAATCTTTCCACGCACCTGACACCGCTTCTCCATATCCTCAAGGTCCCTCCTCAGCATCTGCTCTCGGAACCCTGCCTGCTGCTCGCTCCGCGTGAGAGCCTGTCTGAGCTCCTCCACAGTCATCACCAGCGCCCTCTCCCTCTCCCCTGCCTCCTTCAACTTTCTCTCTGCCTCCGCCTTTGCCTCGCTGTCCGCCCGCGCCTCGGCTGCTGCCTGCGCCTCCCGGGCAGCTGAAAGGGCAGAAACGTAGAAGTCTTTTTGGGCAGCGAGATCCGCCTGCCCGCGCTCTACTGCGTCTTGAAGGGCTTTTTCGGTGGCTGCTTTGTCTTTCTTGATGCTCTCCACTCGAGCCTCCTCCACTTGCAGCCGATTTTGTAGCCGGGTCCTCTCCTCCTCCATCTCGCGGAGCTGAAAGGAGGGAGAGAATAGAGAGAAGGACAACGGGGAAGGGAGGTACGAGAGCCTTTTCAATGGTGGCTTTGTCTTTCTTAATGCTCTCCACTCGAGCTTCCTCCACCTGCAGCCGATTTTGTAGCCAGGACTTTTCTTCCTCCATCTCTCGGAGCTGAAAGGCGGGGAAACGAGGGGAAGAGAGGGAGGCAAAGCAAGGAATGGGAGTGATTCGAAGCAAGGAAGTAAGATTTCTCTATACTCGTCACTCCACTCGAGCCTCTTGCACTTAAAGCCGAGACGGCAGGCACGCCTCCTGCACCTCCAACTCCCGGAGCTGTACGAGAAAAGAGGCGCAAAGCAGAATAAAGAGAAAGAGACCGGGAGAAGTGCGAGGAGGAACAGGGCTGGGAGGGAAACGTATCACCTAGCAGGCATCTGGTCGTGGAAGAGAACTGACAAGGGAGAGGAAGCTTCTGTGCACCTACCTGAGTGCGAAGCTTCTTCATGGCCCCTTCCTGTGCAGCCTGTTTCTTGGAAAGTTCCTCGCCTGCACAGTGACAGGAGAAGCACACAGCAGTACATGCGTGTAATCGAAAGAGATCGTACATGATGTGAGAGGGCGAGAGAGTGTTTAGAGACGTCTCAAAACAACTCTGTTTACACGTAGCACACAGCAGTACACGCGTGTAATCGAAAGAGATCGTACATGATGTGAGAGGGTGAGAGAGTGCACAGGCTACATTTTCACGCATTTTTCGTTCATACGCGTGTGAGAGAGAAGCACAGATGGTATGAGCACATCGAGATGGTGTGGAAGCAAAAAGTCACTCAAAAGTTACCGACCGACCCATCTTCCGCCAGCCAGGTGGGTCCTACCGTCCTACCACCGCCACACATCTCTTAGTCCTATTGGCCCAACCACCCACTCTCCGCGCCTCCTCTTCTGCCTGAGTGCCAGTGAGTGAAACATCACCCACCTTCCGCCGTGACCTGTCGTATGATCTCGTCCTTCTCCTTCAAAAGCGTCGACGTGTCCGCCTTGCGGCTCTGCTCCCAGAGGTGACTCATATATAACCTCTTCACCTCACATCAATTCAACCATCACCCACCTTCCGCCATGACCTGGCGAATAATCTCATCCTTCTCCTTCAGAAGACGAATGCACAGCACCTCCCCTCCACCATCTCTCAATGGTGATTGCCCCCCAAGCACCCACCTTCCGCCATGACCTGTCGTATGATCTCGTTTTTCTCCTTCAAAAGCGTCGATGTGTCTGCCTTGCGGCTCTGCTCCCAGAGGTGACTCATATATAACCTCTTCACCTCATATCAATTCAACCATCACCCACCTTCCGCCATGACCTGCCGAATGATCTCGTCCTTCTCCTTCAGAAGCGTCGACGTGTCCGCCTTGCGGCTCTGCTCCCGCCGCAGCATGTCCCGCTCCTTGGTCAGCGCATACACCTGGAGTGCGGAAAAGTGGTACGTGTAGCAAGTATATGAGTAGTACGCATGTTAAGGGAGTGCCCCTAATTCAGCCTTGCGGCTCTGCTCCCGCCGCAGCATATCCCGCTCCTTGGTCAGCGCATACACCTGGAAGGAGAAAAGGTAGTGGAGGAGAAAAGGTGTTGGAGGAAGGGGAGGGGAGGGGAGTGAGCATGTGAGGGGGGAGTTAGAGGCAAGTCCAGGCTACTAGCCTTGCGGCTCTGCTCCCGCCGCAGCATGTCCCGCTCCTTGATCAGCGCATACACCTGGAATGCAGAGGAGGGGAGGGAAGCGTAGGGGAGCGAGCATGTGAGGGGGGAGTTGGAGGCAAGTCGAGGCTATTCATCCTTCCGGCTCTGTTCCCGCCGCAGCATGTCTCCCGCTCCTTGGTCAGAGCATACACCTGGAAGGAGAAAAGGTGGTGGCGGAAGGGAGGGGAGTGCGCATGTGAGGGGGGAGCTGGCGGCAAGTCAAACCTATTCAGCCTTTCGGCTCTGTGTGGTCAAAACGTGCACCTGGAATGGGAGCATGTAGCATAAGCGCAGAGCCCATAGCCCAGTGCGATGCTACAGGTATTTTCATCAGCTGCCCGGCCCAGCACTCACCTTTCTTTCAGCTGCCCCCAGTCGGTGCTGGTACTCCTCCCGTAGAGCTTCGAGCTCCGCATCATTGTTCTTTTTCGCCTGCCCAAGTGAGTAAGAACAGAAGGGAATGGGGGGAGGGAAAACCAAACAGACACAACAAAGGGGGTACAATACTTCGTGGTATATTATTAGTAGGGCACGCAAAACTGAATGGAAGGGCGCAGAAGCTAGGAGGACAAGTCTCACCTCCCACCTTCAGTCTCACCTTACCATCATTCAACACTCTCACCAACTCTGCTTGACTTGAAACCCACTTCACACCCCTTCCCGCTTCTCCTAAACAACGTCCTTTTCCTTAGTTCTTAACTCGCTCAAAACCCAGCCCCGGTCTCACCTTCCAGTCCTCCAGTTCGGCCCGAAGCTCATCATTCACAGTCATCGCTCTCACCAGCTCGTCCGCCTGGGTCTGTGCCTGCCTGCCCGCATTCTGCAAACCACTTGCCCAGTCGCTCACCTTCCAATCTTCAAGCTCGGCCCGAAGCTCGTCGTTGACAGTCATCGCTCTCGCCAGTTCGTCCGCCTTGGTCTGTGCCTGCTTGCCCGCATTCTGCAAGGCACTCTCCATGGTTGCCAGCTCCATCTTCACTCTCACCAACTCCGCTTGGAGCTCGGACGAGAGAGCCTCTGCCACTGCTGCCGCTGCAGCTGATGATGCCTTCTCTGTGGATAGGGCTTCTGCTGCTGCCACTGCTGCTGCTGCTGCTGTTGCCGTTTCAGCAGACAGCGCTTCCCCTTCTGCTGCCACTGCTGCGACAGTCGCTGCCTGTTCAACGGAAGAACCTTTTTCTGCAGCAGCAGCTTCTGGTGGCGGTTTTTCAGCAGGCACTGCCTCTGCTGCCTCTGCTGCCTCTGCTGCTGCTGCTGCTCCGTCGGAACCTTCACTCTCATTCGCTCCCCTTGCCTCCGTTGCACCAGCGTCTGAAATATTCTCAGCCACAGACACAGCAGCAGCAGCAGCAGCAGCAGCAGAACCAGCCTCAACCGATGCTGCTGTATCGCTTCCCACCATCTCTGCCGCTGCTGCATCCACTAAGGCAACCGCGCCTGCTGCTGCTTCCCCTGCCCCTGCACCTGCTGTGCCTTGTACACCCTCCCCATTGACCACCACCCCAGGCGCCACCTCCTCCCCAGGAGCATCACCAGCAGGAACCGCCTCTTCCTCAGCCCTACCGCTGCCCACAGCCCATCCATTCCCATCCGTACCAGCTGCACCCGCTTTCTCTGCTGCACCCATTTTCTCAAATGGACTCACTGGATGCTGCACGTTCACAAGGCCATTCCCAGCAGCAGAGCGCCCTCCTTCTCCCCACGCTCCTTCCACTCCCTCTTGAGCAGCAGCAGCTTCAGCAGCAACAGCGGTAGCAGTTTCAGCAGCAGCTGCTGCTGCGGCAGCTTCAGCACCTTCAGCAGCAGCTGGAGCAGCAGGCATGAGTCTTTCTTCGGACGGCACATCTGCCCCCTCCCCTGCATGTGTCTGCCCTGGGTCTACCTTCCCTAAGCCCACCTCCCCTGAATCTGCCTCCCCCGAATCTGCCTCCGCTTCTACATCAATCTGCGCTACCACTTTCTCCTCGTCTGCCCCTGATTCCTGATTCAAATACCTTGTTTCCTCTTCACTCGTCTGCACAGCAGCTTCACAGCCGCGTTCGCCTCCTTCAGAAGCAGCAGCACCGCTGTCAACTGCGGGCTCCCTTTCTGCAGCTGCTTCGTCACCTGCTGCTGCCTCGACTTCCGAAGCAGCCCATCTGACAGGTGGTTTGACTGGTGACTTGACTGGCGACTGGACTGGTGACCTAACTGGTGGTGACAGGGAGGGTTTGACAGGGGATGGCGCAGGGGCACCCTCCCCGTCCTCCTCCCCGTCCCCTTCCCCATCATCTATGCTGAAAACGGCCTCTGAGGCTGCTTCAAACCCGCTGAACGGCAGAGGCGTGGACGAAGCATTAGCTGCTGCCACAGCAGCTGAGGCACCGTCATCACCTGCCCCAGTACCTGCCCCAGCACCAGCATCAACAGCAGCACTGTCTGCAGATGCACCCGCGGCAGAACCAGCAGCACCTGCAGCGTCATCCCCTGCTGCAGCGTCCTCTGACTTCTTAAAGCCATCTCTCGATCCAGCATCTGTACCAGGGAAAGCTGCTTCTCCCCCATTCGTTACAATATCTTCTTCTTCAATTACTGCCGCCCACCCCTCCCCTTCCTCTGCCTGAAACGCTCCCATTCCTGCAACAGCTTCGCCTTCTGCCGAACCTGGTGTAGGTTTGGGCTCTTCCTCAACCTCCGATTCGGCAACAGCTTCAGCCGTAGCTGCAGCAACAGGCTCGGGGGCAGAGGTTGCTGATTCAGCATCCGGCTTGTCGCCCAGACGAGGACTGGCAGGAACCGTGGCCTGGTTACCAGGTAACACCTCGTCTATCGCCCACCCTGCTCCTCCCTCCTCGCCCTCTTCTACCTTCGCAACGACACCTGCCCCATCCACAGCACCGCTTGACACCTCCTGGTTTGCTACCGCTGCTGATGAGGCAATCTGGACAGAAGCGTCAACTCCTGGTGAAGCCACTGGCGCTGCTGCTGCGTCTCCTGCTGCAATCACAGATGGGGTATCCAAGGCTGGTGAGACGATAGGTGCAGCTGCAGATGGCACTAAGGTAGACTCACCGCCTGCTCCTGCTGTTGCTGCTGCTTCGGCCTCAGCCTGTGGCTTGGTCAGCTTCCCTTTGACGAGCTTCACTATCTTGGTCGGTTTCTTCACCGCTTTCTTCTCCTTCTCCACCTTCTCCTCCTCCTTTACCACTTCGTCCTTCCCCTCACTGACTTTACCATCAGCCACGGCCTCAGCGGCCGCAGCCCCTTGTGACCCGATTGCAGAAGCAGCAGCAGTATCAGTAGCGGCAGCAGGTGCAGCAGCAGAGGCAGTACTCTTAAGAGTAGGCCGCAGGGGCCGAGTCAACTTGCTAGCTCCCAGCTTCTTCGCTCCAAGCTTACCCTCCGGTTTCGCACCTCCACCCACTGCCGCCTTCGCCTCTGCTTCCTTTCCCTTCACCAAATTCCCTGCTGCTGAGCCTCCTCCTCCTGCTGCTGCCGATGCATTTTCAGCCGTTAAAGCCGATCTCGCCGGGGACGCTTCAGCTGTCCCAGTGACAGGTTTTGACGATGCTTTCTCAGGAGTCTTGGAGCCTACTGCCGCCTCCTGGACCTTATCTTTCGCTGGAAAAGCGGCGGTAGGAGCGGCGGCAGGAGCAGAAGCTCGAGCGGTGGCTGTGGGAGGAGCGGGAGCATTTCGAGCCCCATCTGTGGTTGCTCTGGGCTTGGCCGTCTGAGAGGACGAGCTCGCCGCTGGCTTGTCTGAAAGTGCGTGGGATAATATGATGGGAGATACGGGTGGAAAGGAGAGAATCAGATATGTGGGGGGAGCGGCAGCAGTTCGAGCGCCATCTGTGGTTGCTCTGGGCTTGGTCGCCTGAAAGGACGAGCTCGCCGCTGGCTTGTCTGAAAAGCGTGGGAAAATATGATGGGAGGTACGGGAGAAAAAGGATAGAATCAGAAACGTGGAAGGAGAGGGAGCAATACGCCCCCATCTGTGGCTCCTCTAGGCTTGGTCGCCTGAGAGGACGAGCTCGCGGCTGGCTTGTCTGAAATGCGTACGGAGAGATGAAGAGAGGTATGGGAGGAAACGAGAGGACCAGAAAGACGGAACAAATTCCAACACGGCAGGATGAAATTCGGCAGACAATAAGTAAGGAATACGTTACAAGAGCATCAAGCAGAGAAGCATCGGAAGTACAGAATTTAGAGCCAGGATCAATACGGGCTAAGATTGAAGCATCATGAGCCTTAAGGGAAGGGGAAGCAGTTTTCCGCAACCGCGTCTGCGGAAAATGACGATTCGAATAGGAAATATTCAGGTCGTTTTGCAGGAAAAAAAGCTTACGGTGACCGAGCTTAGCTCATCGGACCACATACCTGCATCCTATATCAGCTACAGTGCGAAGAATACAAACGCCATTTGTTGTCATTCAACTCTTAAATCACCAAAACCAGCGTAACAGTCTATCAAATCGCGAATGATCGAATCGAAGGCCTGATAGCGAGGGTTCAAACCTTCGATGACAGGAGGGAGGAAGTCGAGACCCAGTCCGCCGTCGAATCCCGATGTGTCGATGTTCATAACCGTTTCGCTCAGCTTGTTCACCGCACCCGCAATGTCCGGGAGCTCTCCCAGCCCGAGCGACGTCACCTGAGCCGAGAACCAATCCATGGCTGCTGCTGCTGCTGCAGGCAGAAAACCTTGATTCTACCTTATTATACCGGCAAGCAGTTGAGTCAAGATTTGATCGGTACGCCTCGGCAACGGTCTACGGCAGGTCCATTAGCCTCGGGAATCTCCGTGAGCCAAAAGCTTCGAAACTCCGTCAGGATTAGGGAGTCTACCACTCTGAAAGTTCAGCTGACAATATACCGTAAAACGAGCTTCGCCAAAGTCGGCGCGCGACGAAGATCAATGAATGTCGGACTACTCTACCCTCCTACCCAGACCCGAAAACTTAGAGCCTAGGACTGCAAGCATGAAAAAGGCCACCGTAATCTGTTGTGATGGTTTGACATGACACTTTCTAGGCTTTCTGGCGACACTTCCAAGGTGGGGAAAATGGAAGCCCAAACGCGAAAACGCAAGGGAAATCATGAATAGGCTTGTTACAGTACAAAGGAGAGGCTAGTAGCGGCACAGCGTGACGGATTGGCGGGAAAACGGTCCCTCCAAGGGCACGGAAAGGTTGTTGGCGATTTCCACTGACAGACGATGTTCGTGGCGCGAAGATGCTACGATAAGGAAGCTGGATAACGATTTAGCATGATGTGACAAGAAACCACATCACCCATATAATGTGAGAAAACAACAGTGTCTTTTCAAATATCACTCTGCAGATCAATATTGATACCATACCTAGCGAATGGAATATGACACTAGAAAAATAATGCTGGACCATCAATGGCGTGTATAGCGGCAGAGCCTTGTCAACAGGAGGAAATGAGCAAAACGCAACACAAGACCAATGCTGAAGAGGATCGCCACGCATTGCCACTTGTCAAGCTGAGTTAGGCCCAGGTAGAATGCTGCCAGCTCAGGACCTGTCTGAAGACAGGTGGATGTTGACACCTCAGCAAACGGAGAACCAATCAGAGCAGGGCGCAGCGCAACGAGTGACCTTTGAACATCCACCTCATCGAGCAGAACTGAGAGCGGTGTAGAGGAGTAGATATCACGTGCAGAAAGGTAACAAAGCGAGGTCACCCGGTCAAACTCGTTGAGAGCAAGCGCCTCATAAGCGTACTTCAGGGGAGATATGTAGTGTAGCCAGAGCCAGTAAGAGGGTATGCTGGCTCGCTCAATATAGAAGCCGCAGACGAGGGCAAAGTTGGCCAGAACGGTGATGACGATAGCATAGGCGAGAATGACACTGTGTGGGTGTTGGTGGTAGTGGAAGAGAAAGGGAAAGTGATGAAGAAAAATGGAAAAGGATAGAGGCAAAGAATGTTGCACCAGGCGGAAAACAGGAGAGCATGGAAATAAAGAATCAAGAAAGCAGGTGAGGGAGCAAGGGAGAAAGAGAGAAGGTAGAGGGGGTAAATCATCCATGTTACAGAAGCAAAAATTTTTTTTGGCCCGTACTTGTTGACTGTGGCACTAACGAAGGTGGCAATGGCATTCCCAGTGAAGAGGCAGCAGAAGCACACGAGCACCATAAAGGCCAGCCCTGTCGCCCCTCCTGTGAGACTGAGACACCACCAGGCTTCGAGGGTGATGGCGAGGGACATGAGGAGGTGCAGTGGCAGGTAGACGAGCGTGGAGGCCAGCAGGTAGGTGGACGGGCGGTAGGCGTTGTGCGTCGTCTCCCTCACAAATATGTTGCGCTCCTGGGGGGGCAGGAGGCATTGGAGGGAGCGGGGAAGAGGGGGAGGAGAAGATAGAGAAAAGATCGGGAGCTGGAGAGGGAAGTAGCACTAGCAGCATCAGGGCCAGCTCTGATGGTATTCTGAAAGAACTCTGCACTCACGAATGCACTTCACCGCTGGTTGGGTGCGCCATCTGAGGATGAGGAGGAGGACGTATTGTAAGCAGGTGAGAGAGCAATCAAAGTCTGCTGGGTCAACCGAGCTGAACAAGTCAACCAAGTAAGTCAACTGAGTCAACCATGAATCACCTGTATGAAGAGTGGAGTGGCGTCTCCAGAGGAGAAAAAGAGTGTGCATGTGAGGACAAAGCTGACTGAGTCAATCAACCGTCAAGACTCACCTGTATGAAGAGGGGAGTTGCATCCCCCGACGAGAAGAAGAGCGTGCATGTGAGGAAGGCAATGAAGGCCAGCCGCTCATGCACTCCACGCGTGCTGTGGTTGAGGGGAAGTGTGGCAAGGGGGGACGGAAGAGAAGGCAATAAGGAGGGATGGATGGATAAATGGAGAGATGGAGGGAGAGAGCGACAGGAGAGCATTAGATTCGACTTTTGAGACGTCTCAAAAGCCGACCACACCTTGAACCAAGAGTGGGAACCAAGTGACTGACTCACTTGAACTCTGGCTGCCAGAAGAGCGACGCTATAAGCAGCCCCGTTATCATGATAAGCAGCAGGCGCAGCAGGTACAGTGCTGGAGTCCGGCGAATCACAATAGCCGACCGAGCTGTCAGCACCCACAGCTCCCGCCACCACCCGTTCGCATACTCGCCCTGCTGCCTCCTACTCCCCTGCCCTTCCCCCTCCACCTTCTCTTCTTCTTCCTCCTCCTGATCCTCTTTCTCATCGTCCCTTTGCTGCCCCTGATCCTCTTGCCCTTTCTGTTCATTGGTTGTACTGCTGCTGGCACTGCTGATGCTTGTGCTGCTACTACTAGTGCTCACAGAGCTCTTGGTACTGGAGCTGGTAACAAGTTCCAAACAAGGAACATCCGACCCACTGTTGCTCCTGCTCTTCTTTCCATCGCCTTCCCTTTGACCAACCTCTGCTTCTAGAACCTCCGCTGCTGCTTGAAGGTTGCTCTCCGTTCCTTTTGCTCCTGCTCTTATCTCCTTCGTTCTCACCCACTCCCGGTGAAACTCAGCCAATCGCTGGATGCCAGATGTACCAGCACCGCCGCTTGCTTGTTGTGCCCCGCCATTCACCTTGACCCCACCCTGTGCCTCTACATCCTCCTGCTCCTCTCCTCCCTTCAATCTGTCCTGTCCCTCCTGTCCCTCCTGTCCCTCCTGTCCCTCCTGTCCCTCCTGTCCCTCCTGTCCCTCCTGTCCCTCCTGTCCCTCCTGCCCCTCCTGCCCCTCCTGCCCCTCCTGCCCCTCCTGCCCCTCCTGCCCCTCCTGTCCCTTTTCACCCACATTTCCCCCTTCCTGGCTTCTCGTCCCTCCCAAACCTCCCCGCCCTCCTTGCCCTCCCTCAGTCTCCCCTCCCAGCCCTCCCTGCCCTTCCTGCTGCCCGTCCATCTGCAGCGACTGGATCAGATCAAGCGTGAATTCCACAGGGTTGGAAAAGGCCGGCGCCGGGCAGCCAAACTCCGTGAGGTAGCCTGGCAGCTCGGACGGGCAGCCCCAAAAAACCGTGTGCCCGGATCCGAGGAGAAGGAGGTTGTCAAGGAGATTGAGGACCCTGAAACTGGGCTGGAGGTGCAAAGGGAAGGATATAGGACAAAGAGACAGGGAGGGAAGGGGAAATTTAGAATTTGAGGTGAAACACACATAACAGGGTGAAAGTCGAAGGGGAAGGAAGGAAGCATAAATCAAGCATATCTCACTTAGTCTAGCAGTTACTCTCACCTAGTCTCACCTAGTCTCACCTAGTCTCACCTAGTCTCACCTAGTCTCACCTAGTCTCTCTTGGTATCACCTAGTCTAGCAGCTAGTCTCACCTAGTTTCACCTAGTCTCTCTTGGTATCACCTAGTCTCACCAGTTTTCACCGGGCCTCACCTCACCTCCCATGGTTTCACCTAGTTTAACTTGATGCAGCACCATGAGCACAATGCTCAGGCGCAGTCTCGCCACGTCCCTGACTGCCTTGACCACATGGAAGGCACAGGTGGAGTGGAGACCACACTGGTACGAAACCTCACTGGTGCATTAGTCTCACCTGATGCAGCACCATGAGCACGATGCTGTTCCGCAATCTCGCCACGTCCCTCACTGCCTTGACGACGTGGAAGGCACAGGTGGAGTCGAGGCCAGAGGTGGGCTCGTCTAGGAAGAGCAGCGAGGGGTCTCCCACCATCTCCACTCCTATCGCTACTCTCTTGCGCTCGCCTCCTGACACGCCCCTGAGAGGAAAGGAGCGAGTGAGAGTGAACGAGGGGAGAGGGAGAGAACAGCATGTGGTTACAACTAGGAGCAGCGTGGGGTCCCCCACCATGTGAAAGAAGGAGTGTTTTGAGACGTCTCAAAACACTCCTTCTTTCACAACTAGGAGCAGCGTGGGGTCCCCCACCATCTCCACCCCTATGACCACCCTCTTGTGCTTGCCACCTGACACGCCCCTGAGAGGAGGAAAGGATCGGTACTGCAGAGGTCAGTAATAGCCGCAACATAGGGTCTTTCCCTGGGGTCAGTACTATCACCACCCTTTTGCCCTCACCGCTTCATAAACCCCTGATGATGTGATGTGTGAAACGTACCTCCTGTTCTCATTCCCATTCCCAATGCGGGAATCAGCCACTCAAGTCAACCCTAACAGGTGCATCAGCCCCTCCACCTTCTCCTCCTTGGCCCTCCGCTTCCTCCTTGGCCCTCCGCTTCCTCCTTGGCCCTCCGTCCCACCGTGCCAGCCAGTGGCACCCTCGTGCCATACCACACCCTCAGTTCACGTACCTTCTGTTCTCATCCCCAATGCGTGAGTCCGCCACTCGAGTGAGCCCCAGCAGGCGCATCAACCCCTCTACCTTCTCCTTCTGCCCCACTGCTCCCGCCGGCACAGTCATACCATACCACACTCTTGGATCTCGATTCACGTACCTTCTGTTCTCATCCCCAATGCGTGAATCCGCCACTCGAGAGAGCCCCAGCAGGCGCATCAGCCCCTCCACCTTCTCCTCCTTCTCCCTCCGCCCCACCCTGCCATTCCCCAGCCTCAGCTCGGCTGCAAACAGCAGCGTCTCGCGCACTGTGAGTGCCGGGAACAGCAGATCGTCCTGCATCACATAGGCTGACACCCGCCTCATGGTGCTGGCAGTCACAGGAGCTCCGTTTAGAGTTATTGAAGGGGAAAGCGCAGGGGTGGAAGAGTAGAGGGGAGTCACAGGGGCTCCGTTTAGAGTTATTGAAGAAGAGAGGGCGGTGGTGGGAGTTGGGAGGGCAGCTATTGAGGGTGGGATGTCAGGAGGCGGAGAGGCGGAGGGTGAAGGAAGGGGTTCTAGTGCAGATGGCATTTGAGGTGGTGTGGACGGGAGGGAGATGCGGTGGGAGAGGATGTCAAGGAGAGTGGTTTTGCCAGACCCACTGGCTCCCATGATTGCTGTCACCTGCCCTGCTTGGGCAGACCCTGATATCCTCTGCAAGATGTTGCGACGCTGCTGCTGCTGCTGCTTGCCAGACTGCTGATTGTGACTGTATGCAGCTTGACTGTGCCAAGAGGTGTCCAAAGGCGCATCAGGGTGGGTACATGCAGTCGTGCTGCTGCAAGCAGCGGAGGAGCAGAGGGAAGGGATGCTATGGAGGAAGGCTAGCGGATGACGCCGGAGAGGGACGGAATAGGAGATGTTGTGGAAGCACAGAGAGGAGGAGGGAGGAGAGGAGCGGACGGAAGGAGAGAGGAGGAGAGGAGAGGCCGTAATACCGCTAGAAGCTGACACTGTGGAGGAGGTGTTGGAAAGTGGAACGAGTGTAGGAGAGGTAACTGGAGCTGGAAGCTCACTGGCTTCCAGAAGCGTTGAAGGAGCGAATTGCACCTTCTCTCTGTTCAGGTCTCCATCAGTAGCGCCCAAGGGGTTGGTGATGATGTGATTGTACTGAATTCGTGGAGGAGTTTCAGGAGGGATATCGAGCGCATGCTCTGATGGCGTCTGCTCTGCCATGGCGAGACTTTGAAGGTGATTTGCAGCAATACTGCTGGCGGGGTTGCAGATGGTACCGCTTGTGGTTCTGCTGATGTTTAGTCGGAATGATGCTCCTGATATTGCTTGTGGTGACACTCCGATCTCACAGCTGTTTTTGAGAAGATTCAGGCTCCCAATAGGTGACACAAGGGGGCTTTTACTTTCTTGAAGAGCCTGAAATTGAAGTCTTAATGCTCCTCGCAATGGTGTAGCCTCACAGATGCTGCATGGTGCCAGAAAACACCTGATGGAAAAAATTGAGTTGGCTTCTTGCTGTTTCCTCAAACTTTGTGTCGATGTGTCAATGTGATTCCTGCGGCAGAGTGTCGTGTTGTGCGTCTGCAGTTCCTGAAATGGAAACACGGTGATTGTCAAAACTTGACTCTCAAGGCATTTGACATCAACTAATCCGATTCCACAACAGCGAGCTATCCTTACCCTTAGCAGGATCTTGCCTTTGTAGGATCCGGCAGTGCCAGCATCCAAGGCCGTCTGGACTTCAACAATCTGGAAGTATGCACACTACACTGCACTGCACTGAACTGCGGTGCGCTGCAGTGCACCGCAGGTGGAAAGCTGAAACGGCCAAAAGCAGAACAAAAACAGGCTCACTCCAGACAGCTTTCCCTTACAAGACACTACTCAGGTAGTAATTTGAGAAATTCTGTGCAGTACAGCCTTTCGCTGTACACAAGGCAGCGGTGCTGATAAGAACGAGGCTCATGAGAAGTCTTGACAAAAGTGTTATCTCGTTCACTTCACTCAATCAGCAGACTCGGTCACTCGATCTAAGCCTGCTGATTGAAGAGAAGCTGAATTGACTCTCTTCAAGATGGCCGCTAGCACAGGTCTTGTAAGCGACGTTTCCGTGTCAGATGTGGACATCACCTGTTCTGGACGAGTGTGCTGGTACGAGGAGATGCAATTCGCACGTGGAACTCGTCCAGCAATGTTGCTGGTCGGAGCGGGACGTTGACGGAGAATTCCTGGACGACACTAGTCTTACGTCAACGTCACCAACTCCTAGTCAGATTTATTGTAACGAAACTTGACACGCATTTCCGGCAATGATGGCCAGGCAACGTCAGTGCCATCTCGGTGCTACCTGGCAATGCTCGAACCATAGCCTGGCGAGTCAACACCACGGGAACGAATGGAGCCGTACTTCATTCGCTGTCAGTGATCCTGCCGTGCCTGATAGGGATGGTACAGGATGCCCGTTGAGAGTACGGGATGTCATCTCGCACGTGTCAGGGGATACAGAAACCTAGAGACCATTGTTTGCTTGTGTACTTCTCGAAAAATTCGTCGGGATGCTTTTCCGTCGGATACAGTATCTCTGAATTTGATTGACGGCTGTCATGCCGGGGAAATCGACGGTCAGTCGACTTCGACGGAACAACCTCGCCGTGATCGCTGATTCGCTGCTGCTGACTCTTTCTGCTCGACGTCGCTAGCGGCATTACCGATGGTGACAAGCAGCCAGCGACTCTGCGGGGAGATCGACGACTCTGCGGAGAAATCGACAGGCCACGACTCACGAACCACCTGACAAGTTACGAGCGGAAGCATTATCCACATCCCATGCCATCGGGCTTTCCGAATGCACTGAACCGCTATTGATGGTTCAAATAAGTGAAATGGGTCAACATCGTTCCCCATCCCACACAGAATTCTTTGGCTGCATCCATGACCCAGGTCGCCAAGAAATATTTCGCTGGATGGGAAGTGGATTCCTCGATGATCTCTAGGGACGTCGCTATCAGAAGCATGGAAACTGTGACGGTCAGCTGCCATTAGAGGAGATTACCCAGGGTGGTTGTAGGTAAGTATTTACCAGCAAATCCAACTGGTGAGATTATGAGATACACTTCTGCCATTGAAGCTACTAAGAAATTTTCCGTATCATGTATCTGCTGTTTCTGGGAAATAAGCAGGATAATACCGGTAGTAACAAGTTTTCACATCACCACCCATAATAATGTACAGAAAAAAACCAGCGTCCAGCCGTGGTTTGTCCAGGAAAATCCACCCTGGCGTCGTTATGGAAAGGGTGGTTCTATCAAGAGCTACAGCGTTATTGAGGAACTTCCTACGGGAAATAAACCAATTCCCCTCTACTTGGCCGCAGGGGGCACATACACTGCCACTGGGTTCACATGCTGTCCCCTGGGTGAGGAGTACTCCACAACGTATGACTGCCACACAACCACCGACAAACATGTCAAAAGGAATTTGAAGCTTCACACAATTCACATCCCTCGACTCACACTCATCAGCACCAGAACAGGAACAGGGCAGAAACATCACACAGTAAGGGTACGTTCTTGGCCCAACTTTCCTGACACAAGGCTATCAACAGCTCCGATCGTGCCACATCATCAACAAACAAATCCAAACCCTTCGCAACTTCCAGACAGCCCACTTGACACCGGCAGAGAACGTACCGTAAGCGTGTATGTGAACATTACAAACAAATGGAAAATGCATAGAATGACTAAGACACCCAACCCCACCTTCAGAAGGGGGGTCTTGGTGTTGTCCTCGTAAAGCAGCACGGTCGAGTCGTCATCCTCCGGATCAGCACAGCCATAGATAATGGAGGCGAGGCTGAGAATCATCATGGTGACCAGGAAGACAAAGGCGAGCCCGAGAACGACCAGGCCAACAATGTTGGCGACGGTCCACCCGGGGAGAATGCTGGGGAAGGGGAAGTAGTCGTCCACAACTGTCACCTCAGCATCGTCGCCTGAGACTGGTGAGAAACAAGAGACAGTGGTAGTGGACGGATACAGATGCGCATAGATGCAGGCAGGCGGTGGCACAGGAAAGCAGGTGAGTGGGAAGCATGGGAAGCAACCCGGCAGACAGGCAGACAGAGGGACAGACACTAGAATGGACAGACACATTGGAGACGAAAAGCATGACAAAGTTTATAACAAGACAATGCACGAAGTTCTATGGCCAGTAGAACGGAAAAGCAGTACTAGTGCACCTTCCAGCAGCACACGCATCCTTTCTACGCCGCCCCACACCCACCCATCCCCCACCCCTCCTCCCCCCTCACCCTTTCCCTCCCTACCCCTCTGCCCTATTCGTTCCAAAGAAATTTACCTGCGGAGTCCTCATCGTCCACGGGAACAGCCGTCGTGCTGTCGAGTTTGCTGAGATATTCCGTTAAATCATCGTCCACCTGGTCAACAGAGTCCGGGATCCCATTCTCCGAGCTCTCACCCTCCGAGCTCTCATTCTCCGAGCTCTCATCCTCCGAGCTCTCATTCTCCGAGCTCTCATTCTCGGAGTCCCCACTTTCCGCGCTTTCATCCTGCTCCTGAGGAGTCTGCGCGTTGCTCTGGAACTCCTTCGCGGCCTTTACAAACTCCAGGAACAACTGCAGATGCTTTGAGGATTGAGCCTGCGGTGGAATCATGGAGAATAGGTCGTCAAGGTCGAGCTTCTTCGTCCAATCGCGAGAGAGTACAAACGCGTCAAACGCGGACGCCAGAGGATCCGAGCGTTTCGTAGCAGCGGCATCATCTGTTTCCGTCGGAAGACGCTCGTCGGAGGCGGGGTCGGCAGTGACGGCAGCGTCGCTGTCATCTTCAGCCGTCAACATTCTGACGTTTTCCGTTTCGGTATCCTCGGAAACCTTGTCAGAGTCGGGATCGGCAGTGACGGCAGCGTCGCTGTCATCCTCCGCCGTCAACATCCGGACGTTTTCCGTTTCGGTATCCTCGGTGGCTTTGTCACGAGTCGTTTCCGAAGAAACGCTGGTAACGGGGCTGGAGTCACCGCCTGTGGCAGACGCATCCTCCTCGTCGGTTTCGATAGGGACAGGAGAGGGAATCTCCTCATCCAAGGATTCGGGAGTCACGTTGGTAACGATGCTGGATTCACCGCCCGTAGCAGACGCATCCTCCTCGTTTTCAATAGGGACGGGAGGGGAAATCTCCTCGTCTGAGGATTCGGAAGACTCCGAAGAGTCAGTAGGCTCGGTAGACTCGGAAGTCTCCTCCGTGTCTTGGGGCTTGGTGTGGAGGTCGCTGAGAATGTCAGAGATAGACGACGGGAAGCGGTGGACGATCATGCGAGTGACGGACGGAAGTCGGTTGGCGACGACGAACATGATATTTCCGCGGAGATGGAGGCCACCGACATTGCCAGGCTGCCATGTATAACAAAGGACACAACATTTGAAAGAAGAAGAAAAACTCATCATGAAGCGAGTAGCAACAAACACGGTGGAAGAGGAAACATACGCAGGAGGAGTGCGGAGAGGGAGAAACGAGATGTGACAGAAAGGTATGAATGACAACAGGGGAAAGTGAGGACGGCAACAGGAGAAAGTGAGGACGGCAAACTGGCCGGCAACTAAACTAGATGGCAATAGGTGTGGTGTTGCTGAGTAAGAATCACCTCAAGTTGTGTGAACGCAACGTAGTGGCCACAGTTCTGAAACATGAACGGTCATGACACAGAGAAACGCCGGTTCAGATGGGATGTCATGGAACGAGTGCAAGCGGGGAAAGCTATCTCAGAAGCACGTACCTGACCCTGACTCTCACTAGCTTCAAACTGCCCATAAACGAGAGCCACCGAGACGACTAGCAGAGCGGAAAGGAGGAGAACACGCGCCATAGTACACGGGGGTCGCTCAGTGCCTAAGAGCTCGCTGAGAAATACTATCCTGTCCTGTTTCTTGTATCTCTGAAATGTGCGAGTCTAATCTCCTGAAGAGCAAACCCTAGCTTCAACAGTCTTCCTGTATCCCAAAATGCGAACCTACTCTATCCACGCAACAGACTGCTTTCTGAACTCCGTACTTGCCTGACTGACTTGGGTGACTGGAGAGTCCCGTCAGTCAATTGCGACCTCCGCACGATCACACCCTCTGCTGTGGAAGGATTGACTTTCAGGGGAAGCGTGCGAACTCTGGCGAAGATAATCAAAATCGCCCAGGTTGCAGTAGCGGTCGTTGGTGCAGAAACCCTAGCAACTGTGAGATGACGACGACGACCGGCGTGGTGACGAGTCACGACGACAAGTCAGCATCAACGCTCGGGGAGCTTGTCGGCTGAGTACGAAATCCATTGCTTGCGTGGACTGGAGCCACTTTCTCGTCAAGAAGCAGCCAGAATCTTCTCCCACCTGAAGTTGTCAGGAGGAGGAACAGCAGACTCCCTGTTGTTATGGGCGCGCTAACAGGTACAGATCGATGACAACTACACTAGGAAAAAAAGATGTAAGAAACAATGCGAATGGAGGTGCACAAATGGGGGCAGATGGAGGCGAAAATCTCCATATAAAAGAATTAAATGTTAATTAAGTGAATTTATACGATACAGAAATGTGATTTTTTCAGAAAAACTATTAGCGATACCTTCATAAGAAAAACAGAATGTACAAATCTAGTCATGGATTAATTATTAATTTTAATCCAAATATTATCTAAATCTAAAAAGGCTTCCTGAATGGGATTAACTGTGAGTGAAAGATGTGCAATCTTGTAAGCAAACTTCTATGTTAAAAATAACGGTGGCTGTATGTAGAGACTTACTGCGCTTGTGGAATTATTGAAGTCTCTCTGTTTCGCTGGCCTGGACACGAAATCCATCGGATTGGTTGAGGCGAAATTATTTGCGGCTCGAATGAAACTACGGAGCGCTCCTGGCTGGCGTATGCTGCCACCACCTTCTTCCAATCAGGTGAATAGTTGTTTTGGAATGTGTAGTTCTGGAAATCTCAAGGCTGGAACGCGGTCTGGTCACTGCCACACCAACCTTGGGAATTTGGAGCTGGTTGCGGTGGAAGTGAGGAGCAGCAATCCTGACCGTCGACTGATTGGGAACGTGTTACATCTTCGGCTGAGCGGAATTTGGGGCGTCAGGGTGGAAGGGCTGGAAATGGGGTAGAGATCGAGGGTTGTGGATGGATAGTTTAGTCCTCCCACATCAGCAACTGCGTGTCGGCCATCTGCGATTATTCATTCCATAGTTCGAGCATCACCGACTCTGGAATGAAGGAATATTTTTTTTTCCTCGTGGAAGGTCTCGGCACGTAAGACGCGTCAACTAAATGGGAAGAAGTGTGACAACGGCAGGTCGCACCGTCGTTTATGCACAAGGACGAGGTAGATTTCTCAGCCGGACTTGGATCCGACGGATCGAAGGTTGCCAGGTGGAATGCCTAGAACCCCGTTCCCTCACCTTCGCGTTCCCGGTACCTAAGGAGATCCTTTTCGCTGATCAAGTTCCTTTGTTTGATCTAATCACACGCACGGTGCTATCAACAATGGCTCCGACACGCATCTTTAGTGTTGATCATCGACTGTCTCACGTCTCTGCCTTCGCAAATCTCTGAAATTCTCAACTCGCGGGTAGCCTATGATCTTAAGGATTTTAAATGAAAAGACCGCGGTCGTCTGCAGTCATGTCGATCCTATCACTTAGTTCTTAAAATGTCATGTCTCGCTCTGTTACTATGACCCTAGAATGTAGTATCTCTAAGAATGAGCAACCCCCCTAAGGATGAAGAGGCCAAGGCTACTAATTCGCCACCTAGCCCTTCCGATTACAACGCGTACGGTGCGGAACAGGATTTAGGGGATTCGCGCTACAATCTAGTACTTGCGCGTCGCGATGACCAAGCAGAGCAGCAGGAGACGCCGGGAGATGTTAGGAGGACAGTCGATCGGAGCACTCGGCCGCTATACTCGCAGGAAGCTGACGGTGAGGTGGCGAGAAGGGCGGTGGCGGAAGTCAGAGTAAGTGATGGGGGGTCGGGAAGAGAGGAGCTGCGACTTGGGGGTAGAGAGAGCCTTGATTTGAACTCATGGCTCGTGAGCAGTATAGGGCCAAGCCACCCTGCTGCTGCTCCTGGTGCCGCCGCGGCTGCTGCTGCGAATCTGGCTGCTGCTGTTGCTGCTGCTGCTTCTGCTGCAGCGCCTCCTGCTGCTGTGTCACGTGCCCTAGAGTCTGCTGTACCTCTAGGGTCTGATGTCGCTTCGAGCTTTGCCGCCGCTGCGGGTTTTGCTGCTTATTCCGGATTTGCTGCTGCTCCGGCTGCTTCTGCCGGGTTAGCCGGTGCTCCGGCTGCTTCTGCCGGGTTTGCCGCTGCTCCGGCTGCCTCTGCCGGGTTTGCCGCTGCTCCCACGTTACCTGCGCCTTTAAGCAGAGGTTCTCCCTCCATTGCTGGTCCCGATTCAGCGGCTCCCGAGGCAGGAGGTAGTGGTGTAGTACGGGGAGAGAGTCGGAAACGCCGGCGAGAAACGGTAGAGAGCGGTGGGATCCGAAGCCGGAGCGGAGGAGCTGAGCGGAGTGGAGGAGGTGAGGGGAGCGGAAGTGGTGAGGGGGTTGGGGGGGGGGGAGCGGAGCGCAGGAGCTGAGGGGAGTGGGGGGGCGGAGCGGAGGGGTGGCGCGGAGCAGGGTGGCGGCAGCGGAGGGCGGCGACTGGCGGATCTGAGCGACGAGGATTTGCAGCAACTCACGCGGGAGGAATGCCGCCGGCTGCTGCAAGAACAAGGTTAGTGTGGCGTTACGTCGTGGTACGGCGTGGTCTGGACACGTTACAGCAGGCCCCCACGTGACTCATGCGCCGCCAAAAGAATGCTGCGGGTGCCCGCACCACACCCCCGGTGTCCCCCACACCACCTCCCCAGGCATGCGACGGCCGTCGTGGACGAAATCATTCGCCGTGCAGCTCGCGGCCCTGCTTTGCCTCGTAGGCTCCTCCAATAATCCTTGTGTATTCAGTAAGGCTAGCGTAGCTGATTCCATGTTGCTCTTCTGTCCCACACCCCCCACCCTCCCTCCCCTTCCCCAGGCATGCGGCGGCCGTCGTGGAGGGAACCCTTCGCCGCGCAGCAGCTCGCGGCCCTTCAACTCATGATACTTGCTTTCTCCCGCTAATCCGCGACTTCTACTCACCCACACTCCCCCCTCCCCCAGGCAAGCGACGGCCGTCGTGGACGAAACCCTTCGCCGTGCAGCAGCGCGCGGCCATGCGTTGCCCCTTGCGGTGACTCAGCTTGACGCGTTTCTCACTAATCCGCATCCCCCCCCTGTTTTCCGCATCCCCGCCCCAGGCATGCGACGGCCGTCGTGGACGAAATCCTTCGCCGTGCAGCAGCTCGCCGCCCTTCGCGAACTTTCGCAGCTGCCGTTCCCACTCACCGTGCAGGCGCGTCCGCGCGAATCGACTACTGCTGCGAGAGAGGGAGAGAGGGCAGTCAATACAGGGGAACGTAGGGAGGCAGAAGCAGGAGGGATAAAGCAGGAGCGGCAGAAAGGAGAGGAAGAAGCGGGGGACGTTGGTCCGCGAGGTGCTGGCGAGGGGCAGCAAGAGAGGGACGCGGAGGCGCAAACATCGGCGGAGGCGCAACTCTCCGCGGAGGCGCAAGTTTTTGCGGAGGCACAACTGTCCGCGGAGGCGCAAGTTTCTGCGGAGGCGAGACTAGCGTTTGCGGAATCATTTTTGCTGGTAATTATTTTTTGCGTTAAGCGCACGTTTAGAATCAACCCCTTATCTTCTTGTGTCGTTCTCCGCCCGTTCATCCACCCACCCTTTCACTCCTTCCTCCTCTCCCTAACCCAACTTTATATTCATCCACCATTTGTGAGGCTGCTATCCGCTTTCCATTTATCAACTTGTGTGCATTTTTTCGTTACCGTACGGCATGCAATCCACATTTGTAAATTGTTTTCGATCTTCGTTATCTCCCCTCCCACTCCCCCTCTCTGCCCGTCCCTTTCCCCCTCTCGCCCGTCTCCCTCCCCCTTTCCGCCCGTCCACCTCCCTCTTTCCGCCCGCTCAACACTAGCATGTCCTGCAAGAGCGCGCTCAACGCGCGCAAGCATCCGCAGACGCGGGAGCGCCCAGGCGCGCGGGCGAATCTGGGCGCGCGGAAGCCTCTGGACGGGCGGAAGCTCCTGCGCGCGCGGAGCGCCCATCGCGCGCGGATCCGTCGGGGCGCGCGGAACAATGTGGGAAGGGGGCGGAGGCCTTGAAACGGCCGGAATCGCCTGGTGAAGGGGAAATGGAAACGCACGTCCGCCCAGGGGCGTCCATGCAGCAAGGGGGGACGAGCGGGGAAGGGGAAGGGGGCGGAAGCGGGGAGTTGATGATGTGGGGGCGCGCGGGGGAGATGGGGAGGGGAAGTGTTGAAGGGGGAGAAGGCGAAAGTGTTGAGGGGCGTGGGGAAGTGAAGGGGGGACGGGGGAAGGGGTTGGCGGAAGAGAGGGGGAAGGAGAGGGGGTGGGTGCGGGGAAGGATTGACTTGGAGAATAGTCCTGAGGAGGAGGAAGGTTCTGAGGGGGAGCAGCAGGAGGGAAGGGTGGGGGAAGGGGACGAGGAAGGGGAGGAAAGCGAAGGGGAAGAAAGAGAGGAAGGCGAGGATGGAGAGGAGGGAGGGGAGAGTGAGGGGAAGGGGCAGGGAGGTGAAGATGAGGATGGGGATGGGGATGGGGATGGAGGAGGAGGGGGAGGGGGAGGGGGAGGAGGAGGGGGAGGAGGAGGGGGAGGAGGAGGGGGAGGAGGAGGGGGAGGAGGAGGAGGGGGAAAAGGAGGATGGGGAGGAGGAGGAGGAGGAGGAGGAGGAGGAGGAGGAGGAGGAGGAGGAGGAGGAGGAGGAGGAGGAGGAGGAGGAGGAGGAGGAGGAGGAGGAGGAGGAGGAGGAGGAAGCGGAGGAGGAGGAGGAGGGGGGGAATGGGGAGGAGGGGGAGGAGGGGAAGGGGAAGGGGGAGGGGGAGGAGGAAGGGGGGGAGGGAGCAGAAGGGGAAGCGACAATGATGGCGGCAGTAGGGGCGGGGGCAGAAGCAGAGGCAGTGGTGGTGGTGTTGGTAGTGGTGGTGGTGGTGATGGTGGTGGTGATGGTGATGGTGGTGGTGATGGTGGTAGTGGTGGTGGTGGTGGTGATGGTGATGGTGACGACAGTAATGGTGATGGTGATAGTGATGATGATGGTGATTGTTACAGTGACGGTGGTGGTGATGATGATTACTGTGGTGGTGATGATGATTACTGTGGTGGTGACGGCGCAGCAGATTCAGAGGCAGCAACAGCAGCAGGGGCAGCAGAAGCAGCTGGAGAAACAAGAGAGCCAGCAACAGGAAAAGCAGATGGGTCGACAGGGGAAACAGGAGCTGCAGGAGAAACATCCGTCTCAGCTGCCTCAGGAGAAGCAGCAGGAGCTGAGGAAGCCAAGGAAAGGGGGGAGACTCAGTTAAAGGTGGAGGCTGAGGCTACAGGAGAAGCAGCATTGCCAGAGCTTCCCTTCCAGCCACAGCACGCAGGGGAAGCAGCAGCAGCAGGAGCCGAGGAAGCCAAGGAAAGGGGGGAGACTCAGTTAAAGGTGGAGGCTGAGGCTACAGGACAAGCAGCATTGCCAGAGCTTCCGTTCCAACCACAGCACGCAGGGGAAGCAGCAGCAGCAGGAGCCGAGGAAGCCAAGGAAAGGGGGGAGACGCAGTTAAAGGCGGAGGCTGAGGCTACAGTTCAAGTGGCGTTGCCAGAGCGGCCTTTCGAACCACAGCACGCAGCGCAAGGGGCAGCAGCAGCAGCAGCAGCAGCAGGAGGAGCAGGAGGAGCCGAGGAAGCCAAGGAAAGGGAGGCGGCACAGTTGAAGGCGGAGGCTGAGGCTACAGTTCAAGTGGCATTGCCAGAGCGGCCTTTCGAACCACAGCACGCAGCGCAAGGGGCAGCGGCAGCATCAGTAGCAGGAGCCAAGGAAGCTATGCAAAGAGAGAAGACGCAACTAGAAGTGGAGGTTGAGCCTGCAAGCCAAGCAGCGTTGCCAGAGGCGCCCCAGCAACCACAGCTACAGTCAGCACTGCTACAGCCGCAACAAGTAGAGCTACAGCCACAGCTTGATTTCCTAGCAGCAGCCAGCGAGGTGGGTATCCCGCCTCTACCCCGGTTCAACGCCCCACCTGAACTCGCCTCCGCGTTTGCCGCTGCTGTGGCGGCTGCTGCTGCTACCCCTGCTCCTGATGTTGCTTCTGACACCGTTACTGCTGCTTCCGTTGCTGCGTCTCCTGCTGGCGCTACTGCTGCTCCTGCTCCTCCTGTTGCTCCTCCTGCTCCTCTTGCTGTTGCTCATCCTGCTCCTCCTGCTACAGCAGCTGCTGCTGCTACTTCGGCTCCTGAACCTGCTCCTCCACTTGCTGTTGCGCTTTCTCCTTCCTATGCCATTGATGCTGGTGATAAGGAGCATGTATTGAGTAGTGACTGTAAGGATGATGAGAAAGGGGAGGGAGAGGAAGGAGAGGGTGGGAAAGGGGAAGGGGAGAAAGAGGAGGGTGAGAGAGCGGAGCTTGAAAAAATGGAAGGTGACAATGAGGAAGGTGACAAAGGCGAGGGTGCTACTAGCAGCTCTGAGGACTCTCCCTGGCGGTCAGTTGCAAACATTTCACCGCGAAGCCAGGATCTGCCTGGTCTTGCAGAGCCTGCCTGTGAACATTCGACCGGACCTTTTCTTTTGAGGCAGGAGGAAGTGCATACGGCTGTAGCAGAGGGGGCGCGTTCACCTGCTGCTGCTACAGCTGTCGCAGAGGGAGTTACTGTGCTGGCAGCCCATAGGGGTGCTAGTCTATCTGTGCGCCTGTTTGGCTCTTCGCTTATGGAAGGCTCACTTGTGGAAAGAAGGCAAGAGGAAGGCAATTTTCCCACTCCTGCTCCTGCTGCTGCTTCTGCTTCTCCTCCTGCTGGTGCTGCTGCTGCTGTAAGTCTTGAAGCAAATGTTGTAGCAGCACGAGCAGCAGCATCTGTGCCTGAGAAAGTACCAACAGCAGCAGCGGTATCCGTGACTGGGCACGAGTCTTTAGCCACACGAGCTTCAGATATTTCAGGGGCTGCAATATCAGCCCACGGATCGGCATCAGCACACAAATCAGCAGTAGCAGCAGCAGGCGTAGTATGCGCAGGACAAGCAGCAGCAGCAGCAGAAGCAGCAGCAGCAGCAGAAGCAGCAGCAGCAGCAGAAGCAGCAGCAGCAGCAGAAGCAGCAGCAGCAGCAGCAGCAGCAGCAGCAGCAGAAGCAGGATCAGGAGTAGCGGCAAGAGCAGGACCAATGGCAGCAGCAGGACAAGTAGTGGTTACACCACCAACAGCAAAAACAGCAGGTGCAGGAGCATCAATAAGGCCTTGGCCACTTCCACAGCAAGCTGTGGCATCACCTGCACCAATCCCTGCATCTGCACAAACGTCTGTGGTTCCTGAGGCATCTGTGGCAGCTGTGACGCCTGTAGCAGCCGTGACACCTGTAGCAGCCGTGACGCCTGTAGCAGCCGTGACGCCTGTAGCAGCCATGGCATCTGTAGCAGCACCCGTTTTGATTTCTGCAATGCCTGCAGCACTCCTCTCAACGCCTGCAGCACCTCTTTCAACACCTGCTGCACCCCTTTCAGCACCTGCTGCACCCCTTTCAGCACCTGCAGCACCCCTTTCAACACCTGCGGCACCTCTTTCAACGCCTGCTGCAGCACAGGCGTTCCGAATGCCAGCAGAGTCAATCCGAGTGGCAGAACGCCTTGCTGCCATCCCCATCCCTGAAGCCCTCTCCAGACGGTTCGCTGCCTCCTCCTCTGCCAGACGATTTGGCTTCCCAGCACCCGCACCAGCAGGAGGACGAGCAGCAGGAGCTGCAGCAGCAGCTGCTGCGGCACCAGCGACAGCACCCATAGCAGCATCAGCTTCCGCAGCAGGAGCTTTATCTGCTGCGGATGTCACTGCTCCTATTTCTGATGCTTCGGCCGCTGCTGCTGCTGCCACTGCTGCACCGGATGCTTCGTCTCCGTCCTCCCCTGCCCTGGCCGTGTCTTCTTCCCCTGCCCTTGCTTCTGTGCCCAAGGTGGAACCCTCCTCTGCTTCCACATCCGAGTGAGTGCTAAGGATTGCAGTAGGTGCATTCGAGGTAATTCCTACCATTGCTGCTCCGTCTGCTCCTCCCCTGGGTTTCATTCCATGTCTTACCCTCTCCCTTGCTGCTCCTTTTCTCTGGTTTCGCTTTCCTCGCCCTCCTTCCCTCTGGTTTTCTTTTCGTTTCCCTCCTTCGCTATAGTTTCCTTCCGGTCCTACATTTCCTCTGTTTTTCCTTTTGTCTGTTTGTCCTTCCTTACTTCCTCCCCCACACAGGACTGGACAAAGTCAGTTAAGTCAACAGCCCGCACACCTCAAGGGGAGGGGGCACCTGGGGGAGGCGTTATCATCTGATACATCAGGCAGGGAGGAAGGGCGCGGGAGAGCTGTGACAAGAGCAGGGCGGCGGGGGAAGCGGAAGGAGCGAGAAGCACGAGGGGAGAGGGGGAGGGGACGAGGGGGCGAGGGGAGAAGCGAGGGGGAGAGGGGCGGAGGGGGGCGGAGGGGGCGGAGGGAGGAGTTATCAGGTGGAGGGAGGGGAGGAGGGGGGAGGGCGGAAACGGATACAGTGGAAAGTTGCCGACAGCAGGATTTGAAACCTGAACCTCAACCATCGGCACCACAGCCACCAACAACACCACTCGAATGCGAAGCAGGGGAGGAAGCGATGCAGGTTGCTCACCCACTGGTACCGCGAGCAACCGTTTCGCACCCAGCCATCCCTCGAGCACATGGAATGAGGCTGCCTCGGAGCATTGTGGAGGCACAGCAGCTGCAGCAGTATGAGGAGGAGCATCGCCAGCATCATCAACAGCCGCACGAGGACCTACAGCAGCAGCAGCAGCGGCAGCACCAGCAGCGACAGGAGGGGGAAAGTGCGGCGGAACGAGGGCAAGGGACTGGAGTGGGAGTTTTACCTCCCCCAGTTGTGCCTCCTGTGGGATCCTCTCAGCTGACGATCTTCTATGGAGGGATGGTCCACGTGTACCAGGACGTTCCTTCCGACAGGGTGAGTGCATGTTGTGGTAGAGCGCTTAGTGTATGCTGCAATGGATCTATTATGGAAGAGTTGTTAGAGTGAGTCTGATGGCGCACCTTAGGAAAGGGCCTGCGAGAGTTGTGGGATAGCGTGTGTGAAGGTAGAGTATGGTTTGGTGCTCTGCTATATCTAGCACCGACCCTTATTATCCTCAAGGAAGAATTCTCTCAACCATTCACAACACGTAGGAGCAATTTCTTGACAAATGACAAAACGGCCTAATTTCAGGAAGCTCTATCGCATGCAACATCCTATTCCGCATGTGTCGCCGACTCAAGCTTGTCAGCGTACCATACTCGTATCTACGTTTCCCCAGCCGAAACACTCTAAACCCGAAACCCTTGGTCATCCAATTTAATACGGTGGCAAACATGGGCTTTATAAATCTTGCCTCCTATAGCGAGACTCCTTTCTGTCACTACTCATCTCGTTGTAGCCGACGAACAAAGAAGTGGCAAAAGTCTGGTATGCTTGGTGTGGGTGTGGAAAAAACAAGCTATTTTATGCAAACAATAGTGCTGTAATTGTCGCATTTTTAGATCAATGATCGTTGAGGGTCGCCAAGATTCAGGGGAGAAAAAGAGCTCTTGGACTACCATGGTGCCTACACACAGGACTTGTTTCCTAAATCGATGTAAGAAAGACTGTAGAGGTTTCCAGTAAACAACTTGCTTCCAAGATTGTGGAGAAATGCTGGACCAAGTCATCACTTGGACATATTCGTCACTTGGGCAAAGTCCTCACTTGGACCAAGTCCTCTCTTAGACCCAACCCGTCACTTGCACCCAGTCGTCACTTGGACCCAGTCGTCGCCTGGACCAAGTTGACACTTGGGCAAAGGTCGGTATGGTCGTCAGGTTATGGGGTTTTGCTATAGCCCGCTAGTTAAGGAGGAGGGTGTGACTTGGTGGCATGTGGATAGCGAAGAACCCGTTTCACGGTGAGACCACTGAAGAAAGGCGAATTATCTGGGACGATTTCTTAGGCGCCCCAAAAATCGTATTTGCTATAGCCCGTTAGTGAATGAGGGTGTGACTTGGTGGCATGTGGATAGTGGAGAACCCGTTTCACTGTGAGGCCACTGAAGAAAGGCGAATCATCTGGTTGCAATCACGACACGAGATTGTTGAGCTATGGGGTTTCGCTATAGCTAGTCCGTTGAGGAGTGTGGGTCTTCGTGGCATGTGGACAATGGAGAACCTGTTTCACAGTGAGGCCACTGAAGAAAGGCGAAGCATTCGGGTGCAGTTTATCACGACAAAAGTTGGTGAGATAAGTTGGTGTAAAAATCAAAGCACTAGATGGGATATGTTAGGTCAAGTTAGATACAAACACGAGGGTTCCAACGAGCTCAAGGCTTGGATTGTTATAGGCTGAGCTGTAAAGAATGAGTAGTAAAGATCGTGCAGTATAGACTAAGCAGTATAGGTTGCACAGTATAGACTGAGCAGTATAGGCTGTGCAGTATAGACTGAGAAGTATCAGTTGACCAATACAGACTGAGCAGTACAGACAAAAACGTAGAGAAGTTGAGACAATAAGCTGTGCGGATCATCACCAGTGACTGCACCTCGCTGATATCTTCACCAAGGCCCTTGGGCATGTTGATCATCAATGCTGTCTTTTGAGGCGCCTCAAACCTCGATTATATTCTCACCAAGGCCCTTGGGCATGTTGATCATCAATGCTGTCTTTTGAGGCGCCTCAAACCTCGATTATATTCTCACCAAGGCCCTTGGGCATGTTGATCATCAATGCTGTGTCAGCTCCAATGAACTTTGAGCTCCATCATTTGCACAATGAATCGAATCACCATCTGTGAATGTATGAGCGAATTGGTCCACACTCTCTTTTAGAATGTGTATCATGTGATATCCTACTTTAGTGCCAAAGTAAGTGGGTTGAGAAATTGTCATGTCTCTTCTCTCCGACCAGTAGAAAATTCAACCAATCTCAATGGAAATCCTTTTCAGTGCATGTAGGCCCTAAGCTCCATCTATATAATCAGTCATTCCAGGTAATGTTCCCGTAGTCTTTGTGGTTTCCCTCATCCCTCTTCCCTCCATCTATCTTAAGTCAGACCCAGGCAACTACCGGCTGAGACCTCTTTCCCTCTTTCCATTGTCTTTTCAAACGAACTGATCTTACCTTCTAGTGTCCTTGAATTCAACCTGTCCCTCCTGTGTCAGGCCCAGGCAATCATGCTATTGGCTGGATCAAGCACCACCTCCTCCTCCTTCCCTCTCCCCCCAAACCTCCTCACCGCTCAACACTCCTCCATCTCCACCCCTCGCAGCCCTCTCCCTTCTCCCTCCACTCTCACTCCCCCACACCCCTCCTCTCTCCCTTCACCCAGCCACCCTCACTCACCAGCCTCTGGCCCTTCCTCCTCCTCTGCCCAGTTCCTTTCAGCGCTGCTCTCTACTCCGCCCCTCTCCTCCCTCCCCTATCCTTCTGCTCGTTCAGTCTCTTCTCTGTCTGCTGCTCCCTTTTCGTCGCCCTCTGCTGCTCCCTTCTCTTCTCCATCTGCTCCTCCCCTCGCCTCCTTGTCGTCCCACCCATTGAGATCTGTGGAAGAGCAAGAGAGGGGGAGGGGGGTTCTGGGGGTAACAGGCACCGGTGGTGGTGATGCTGTTACTGTTACTGCTGCTGCTGCTGTTGGGAGTAGCGGGGGCGCTAGTGGTGATGATGGTGATGGTGATTCGGCAAGAGAACGAGATTCTGTTCTACATCAACTGCAGCATCAGTATTACAACTGGCAGCAGCAGCAGCAGCAGCAGCAGCAGCAGCAGCAGCAGCAGCAGCAGCAGCAGCAGCAGCATCCACACCATCCCAGCCCCCACCAACATCATTCTGCTAACATCGCCTCTCACTCGCTCTCTCACTCTCCCTCTCCTCCCCGGGCCCACTTCCACACCTCCCCCTCACCTTCACCTTCTATTGCACCCACGTCCCTTGCACCCACCGTGCATGTGTACGTTCAGTACCCAGTCTCACATCTGCCCCCCTCCTCCTGGCCCTCAGTTCAAATCTCAACGGCAGCAGGGACAGCAGCAGCAGCAGCCACAGCAACACCTGCAGCAGCAACCGCAACAGCACAACCACCACACCCGCCGCCACTGCCACTGCCACTACCACCACCATCCACAGCAGAAGCAGCAGCGGCAGCGGCTGCACCAGCGGAAGGGGCAGACTGGCATTTCACTCCCTCACAATTTCCCCCATCTCTCAAGCATAGCATGTCTCTAGAGGAGCTAGGAGGACCCGGAGGAGGGGGGGGGGAAGAGGAGCCGAGAGGGGCTGGAGTGATTGCAAGAGTGGCTGAGAGGGAGAGAAGAGGTGTGGCTGATGGAGGGGGGAGTGGAAGCATGAGTGGGAGTGGGAGTGGGGGTGGGAGCAGGAGTGCGAGTGGGAGTGGGAGTGGAGGGAGGGGGGGTAGTGGAGGGAGTGGGGGTAGTGGCGGCAGTGGGAGTCGTGCATATGCAACGATCAACAAAGGTAAGATACATTCACTCGTTCATAAAAAACCTAATGCGACTTTGGAAAACGGTATTATTGTTGTGTCTAACGCTCTTGTGTGTTGTTTGTATGGTTGTTACAAAGAGCTCCCTCCAGCGTCAGGGAGACAAGCTTCGATTGCTCGATTCAGGGAGAAGAAAGAAAGGTGATATATGATGGTAGATTACACCATGTTATTGCACGCATCGTCTCAATCTTACAAGTGGTTTCAGAGGCAATTGGGCTGAGGATAAGATAACAATATACACTACCAGTGTCGTTTTGGTATGTGCATGTGTGTTTTTCTTTTTTCTGCAGGACTAAATCACGGTTACAAGTGTCATCTCGACGCGGTAACCCTCGATCATCATCACCATCGCCTCCGGTTTCCCACTCCCCTGCTTCAAGTTTCATGTCACTCGGTCGGCACACTGCCAGCGCTGTGCCTTTAGAATTAAGGGAGCTGCTGCAGCAACAAGCACAGCAGCAGCAGCAGCAGCAGCAGCAAGCATATATACTGCAAGCACAACAGCAAGCACAGCAACAGGAGCAACAGCTACAGCAGGCACAGCAGCAGCAACAGCTACAGCTGCAAGCACACCAACAGCAAGCACAGCAACAGCATCAACAGCTTCAGCAGCAGCAGCAGGTACGGCAGGGGCATTATCCCCAGTACCAACAGCATGAGTCACAGCAACACATGCTGCAGCAACAGGTGCAGGAGCGGCAGCAACAGGTGCAGGAGCGGCAGCAGCAGCGCCAAGCTTCAGCGACTTCCTTTCACAGCGGTGGGTCGGAAGGACTCGACGCAGAGGCAAAAAGGTGACTTTTCAGTGGACTCAAAAGTCACTCCTATATTCAGCAGCAACAGGTGCAGGAGTGGCAGCAACAGGTGCAGGAGCAGCAGCAACAGGTGCAGGAGCAGCAGCAACAGCGCCACGCTTCTGCTACTTCCGCTCACAGCGGTGGGCTAGAAGCACCTGATGCAGTGGAAAAATCCCCTTTGTAAGGTGCCTCGATAAATCATCTGCAACTTCCTTTCACAGTGGTGGGTCGGACGGCAGCACCCGACTCAGAGGCAACGCCTCCTTCGCCTTTCCAGGAGCCTCGCTAGGCAGGCAGCGGAAGGGTTGAAGTTCAGAATAATGAATTGCACAATCTGTGCAGTGCACTGGTGGGTTGGACGGCAGCAGCACCCGACGCAGAGGCAATGCCTCCTTTGCTCTCTTGGAGAGTCTCGCTAGGCACCGGAAGTGAAGGGTCAAAGTTCACAATAAATTGCACAATCTGTGCACCCTAATAAGGTCTTGTTGTTATGGTCTGTACTAATAATGTCTTGTTTGTGGACTGTTCTCTGGTTTGTAATTTAAAAAGGTAGTATTCTTTCTTCCTGCTGCCATCTGGTTTGCTGGACCCTATACACCCAGTAAAGTAGGCTGTGCCTAGAAGTACCTGATGCGTCAAATCTCTTCTGCAATACAGAAAGCTGTCTGACAATATCGAGTATCTTCGACAACGCCAACACCATCCCCTTTTGCCGCCCCATACCACACCACACCGTTTCGTATAAACCCTAAAATCTGGAAGGTGTGGAGGAGGAAGTGATTCAAAAACTGGAATCTCGGAAACTAGTCTGAATGTTGCTTGGCATTTCCTCTGTATTGCAGCACTCGCCAGCGTGCTATCGCCATTCCTTGCATCGGCGATTAGCGTTTCCTTGGGTTCTCGCCTCTGCGTTCTCACGGGTTCCGCGCAGCTGCGTTCAGTTTATGAATTGCGTCGCGTTTCCCGATTGCACCTGCGCCCGGCGGCGTTCGGCTGCGTTCGTTGTGTATTCTCTTTTTCATTCTACAGGCCCGGTCGAGAGCATTCTGACAAATCTTTTGAAACAATGCAGAATCTGGTGGTTTCCACCGAAACCCGCTACCGCATCCCCCTCGCACCACGGCCGTCCGATTCTGTCTTACGCGCGGATTCCCGATCCGATGGCGTCAGCAATGCTACCTTACAGGGCAGCGGAGACTTCTCAGAAGGGCTCGGTTTGGAGCGGTTGGTTGCGGTGGCATGGGATACGGAGGGGTCTGTAGTTTATGGCATCACAGACGAGTGTACTATCTACGGTCTAGACTTAACTACGAGTCGGCTCCTATTCGAGTATCCCTTAGTAATCTCGGGCGATCTTCCCATTCCAGACAGAATCGTATCCGCGCGCTACCTGCCATCACATGCCGCCCTCTTTTTGGCGTTTTCCCGCGGGGAGATGGGGCTGTTTTTCCCCCCAGCAAAGGCGGGGGAAGGGATCCGCGGAGCGATGGGGGGAGCGGAAGGGGGGATGGACGGGAGCGGAAGGTTTGAGATAGTGGGGGAGCTGACGGGGGGGCTGGCGGCGGTGGTGTGGGCGCCAGACGAGGAGGAGGTGGCGGTGGTGACTGGGGCGGGGCGATTGCTCACTATGACTAGCGACTGGCAGGTGAGGGTTCAATGCATTATGCATGGCATCTGTAGTTTATCGTGTAGCATACTCGGCAGTGGTGTGGGCGCCAGATGAAGAGGAGGAGGAGGTGGCGGTGGTAACTGGGGCAGGGCGATTGCTCACCATGACTAGCGACTGGCAGGTGAGGTGCATATAATAAAAACTGGCATGTAGTGCAGCATACGGATTTATCTGTGAGAGGGGGGTGAGGAGGAGGTGGCGGTGGTAACTGGGGCAGGGCGATTGCTCACAATGACTAGCGACTGGCAGGTGAGGGAAAGGATATTTCTTGGAAAGGGGTCCGAGCAAGCTAAGGGTTTAGAGCTTATCCAGGGTCTATGTAGGGGTTGAGTGAATGTTGCCACGTGGCATGCATTCATGAGTGTGCTGATGGAGCTTCTGAGTCTACGTGGCATGCGTGCAACAACACTTGTTCGTTGCCACGTGGCATGCGTGCATGCAGGTTCTGATGGAAGTGCCTCTGGAACAACACGAGCCACACGCTACACCCAATGAGGTCAGTGCTTTCAACTCTTGAGGCGACTTTTGAGGTGCTTAAAAAAAGAATTGCGGGTAGAGAGACAACTTTTGAGGCGCCTCAAATGCTGATGGAAGTGCCTCTGGAACAACACGAGCCACACGCTACACCCACTGAGGCCAGTGCTTTCAACTCCTTCCGTTGCTCGTTTCTTGCATCCTGTTTGCCATTTCTGTTGCTGCCGTTGTTGCTGCTGGTGTTGCTGTCTCCGTTCCCTTCTATCCCTTCACCTCTCTCGCCCTTTCTCGTGCTCCACGCTCCCCCTCTCCTTCTCCTCACACCACTCCTTCCCCTCTCACCCTTCCCTCACCTCCCACCTGCTCCTCCCACAACTTGTTTTTCTCTATCACTTCTCTCTCTTTCATGTTCTTCCTATCAGAGCCTCTCAGCCAGTCAACAGCTGCCACCTGGCACGTACGGCCCAGGTGACGTGTCGTTGAGCTGGCGTGGAGATGGAAAGTTCTTCGTAACTTCCAGCAGAAGATCGCCAAGAGGAGGAGGAGAGGAGAGAGGCGGAGGAGGAGAGGAGGAGAGAGGGAGTGAGGGAGAAGGTAGGGTAGACGATAGGAGTGAGGAAGCTGAGAGGAGGTGGGTAGTGCGAGTGTGGGAGAGGGAGAATTGCTCCCTGCATTCCGTTGCTGACGTGGCACGTGGGGACCACCTGACAGGGCCTGCTGCGTGGCAGCCAGCTGGCGCGCTGATAGCCGCTGCTGCCTGCAAGTTGGAGGAGGGAAAGGGGGAGGAGAGAAAAGAGGAGGAGAGAGGAGGGAAGGAGAGAAGAGGGGAAGAGAGGGCGAGGGGTGGAACATCGGTTCTGCCTGTTGAAGACGCCTCGTTTCCCGAAGCTGGGTCGGTGCGGCAGGTGGGAGGGGCAGGGCGGGGGAAAGGAGAAGGAGAGAAGGGGGGAGGCGGAGGAGGAGGAGGAGGAGGAGGAGGAGGAGGAGGAGGGGATGCAAGTCTGAGGGCATCAGCATCAGCATGCGTGCATGAAATTGTGTTCTTTGAGCGAAACGGGCTCGAGAGAAACCGCATGCAGCTGGCAGGGCTGCCCCGCCCACAGCCGGAATTGAACCCGCGACCTTTCAGTTGTCATTCTTTCCTAGCTGGCGCTGGTTGCCCCTGCTGTGGCTGCCACGTGGCAGCAATTGACTGGAGCAGCGACTCCCAGCTGCTGAGCGTGGCAGTGGAGACCCGTGATTGGCTGGCCGTTCAAGTATACTACCGATGCAACTACAAGTGGTATTTGAAGCACGAGTGCCGCACCAACAAGACCCACCCCCACCTATCCGCACCCGCTCCCTCCCTACCCTCTCTCCCCCTCCTACCTTCTTTCCTCTGGCACCCGGAATCCCCCTCCTCCGCCCTCTCCTTCTCCCCCCTCGGGATCATCTCAGCCGTCCATTTCATCTGTACGGCTGGCGCTCTTGCACCCGGCAATCCCACCGTTGCCGTGATCGACGGCCAGGATTTGAGGATCTCGTCGCTGCTGCTGCATGGGGGGAACGGGGGTGCAGGGGGAAGGGGGAGCGGGGGGGGCAGGGGGGGAAGGGGAGGACTCATCCCCCCGCCGTACTGCCATAGGGTGGAAGGATTTCCGGCTGCTGTGGTGGCGGTGGCGGGTGCTGAGCTGGCAGGTGGTGACGTGGCAGGGTTTGATTGGTGGGAGGAGAGCGGCGATGTGGTTGGTGTGCAGAGTGGTACGGAGGGGTGTGGAGCAGTCCAAAAGGGTAAGAAGGGTGGAGTTGAGATTGTGGGAGCGGTGCTTTCGAATGGTGATGTGGGGGTGGTGGTTAGACCAGAGGGGTGTGATTGGGTGGATGAGGAAGAGGAAGAGGAAGAGGAGGAGGGAGAGGGAAATGAGGGAGACGAAGAAGGGGAAGGAGAGGAAGAGGAAGATGATGAGGCGGAGGATTTTCCACAGATCAAGCGATTCATCGCTACTCTAGAAAGCAGCAGCAACACCACCAGTAGCAGCACTGACACCAGCACCACTAGAACCAGCAGCAGCAACACAAACAGCAGCGGCAAGTACAGCAGCATCACGCGGAGTGACATTGCTCGCATGCGCCATGCAGCCTGGCTCTCCCCCTCCCGCCTGGTGGGAGTCATTGCCGCCACACCACAGAGTGAAGGAACTCTCGAGCAGGGCGCATCTGGTTCTGTTGACTCGGTTGACTTTGCTGACCTGCTGGTAGAGTTGGAGCTGAGGCGAGAGAAGGGGGGAGGAGAGAGTGGCAGTATAATTGGAGTGGAGAGCAGCAGTGAGAGTGTGTGTGGCGGCATGGTGGGGTTAAGAAGGGGTGGGGAGGGTAAGGAGGTCCAGAGAGCAGTGATGAGTGTGGTGGGGGTGCTGAGGCTGAAACAGAAGGTAGTGGGTATGGCCCGCGGCACTTGCGCTGCTGTGCACACTGTTTCTGCACCGGCTGCTGCTGGGCTGAAGGGAGGAAACGCAGTGGAAGAGAGGAAAGAGCATCTGTATTGGCAGCAGCAAACGGCGCAGCAGCAGCAGCAGCAGCAGGAGGTTGTTAAGGGTGGGTCATCGGTCTTCCTATCTCTCGCTGACGGTTCCCTCCTTCGCTACCTCTCCTCCTCCACCCCCTCTGCCTCCTCCACCCCCTCTGCCTCCTCCACCACTTCCTCTGCCTCCCATGCACCCTCTTCCACTTCCCCCTCTCCCTTGCCCCTCTCCCCATCTTCAACGGACCTGGTGCTCCGGTTCCCCGAGCCTTGCCCTTGGTTTGCTGTGGTGGAGGCGAGGGTTCAAATCCAGCTGTCGTCTTCATCAAGATTGACTGCAGAATTATCAACATCAACAGCAGCAGCAGCAGCACCTGTGGTGGTTCTATGTGTGGGGCGATCGCACAAAGGGCGTCTGTATGTAGGTTCTGCCACTCTTCCTGGTAACCCAACAACTGGAGTGGTAACCAGGTTACCACAGGCACCTGATGCCACGGCAGTGTGTGGCGACTGCTCGTCCTTTGTGCTCCACTTCATGGCAGTTCCCAAGGCCCCCGGAGTTCCCAAGGCTGATTCAGCGCACCAATCAGAGCCTAAGAAGGCATCCCAGGCCTTATCCCCATGCCATGTCATCACTCTTGTCTTCACTACAGTGTCGGGCGCTATAGTCACACGGGACCTGCTTGCTTTGTCTCTAGAGGCGGGTTCTGGTTCCCAGGGAGCACCTGGAGGCGCAGGTGGTTCTTCAGGTGTTTTCTCAGGTGCTTCTGTTGCGCTCCCAGGTGCACTCCCAGGCAGGGTGTCGGAGGAGGGGACGAGGGCAGGAGTGGGCGGGCCGGCCGGCAGCAGAAAAGGACAAAAAGGGAAGGTGTCGTCATCATTGCTGTCTTGTCCTTTGTGGGAAGGGGGGGCGGTCCTGGTGGCAGGGCTTGGCCGGCTGAGAGTGGGAGGGGATGAGAGAGTGGAGAGGGGGGCAGAGGACGAGGGGGAAGAGGGAGAGGAGGAGGAAGAGGAGGAGGAGGAGGATGGGGAGGGGGAGGCGGATGGGGAGGGGGAGCCGGCAGTGGTTCTCCAAGCGACACGTGGCAGTCTGGAATTGGTCTACCACCGGGCGCTCGTGCTCCGGGCGGCGGGGCTGCTGCTGAGTCAGCGCCGCTTCCGGGCGGCTGCTGAGCTGGCGCGCCGGCACAGGCTGGACCCAAACGTGCTTGTGGATTTCGGCGGGTGGAGATCATTTGCTGGTTTGGGAGGGAGAACGACATTGAGCGGGGAGCAGAGTGAAGCGGCCTTGAATGGGGTGCAGGGGGGAGTGGTGGGCAGTAGTGGGGTGCATGTGGGTTCTGGGACTAGTGGAGCGAGGGAGTTTGTGCGGCAGGTGGGAGAGCCGGGGCTACGGCACGTGAGTGAGGTGATCTATGGTCTGAGGGAGGAGGATGTGGCAGCGAGAGGGGGAATGTATGGTGAGGTGCTGGCGGGGATGAGAGGAGAGGTAGGAGAAGGGGGAGGGGAAGGGGGAGGAGGGGGTGGAGAGGGAGGAGGTGGAGAAGGGGAGGGGGTAAAAGGCAAGGTGACAGCTGTGTGCACGGCTCTCCGGGCGGCGCTAGAAGACGTGCTGCCGCCCGGCGCCGTCCGGGACACGTGTGTGCTGAGCACGTATGCGTGCAGTGTGCCGCCCAGGCTGGAAGAAGCCCTGTTGCGCATCAAAGCAAAGCGGAGCTCTGATGATCAAGTGGTTTTGTCTAAAGACAGGTCAAAAGATGAGCATGCGGGTCTGTCAAAAGATGAGCGTGTGGATGGGTCCAGGTCTGCACCCACTCGCCAACCTGCAGATCAACCTGAACCCACTCGCCAACTTGCAGATCAACCTGAACCCACTCGCCCCACCCCTCTCCTCGCCCTCTCAGTGGAAGCTTCCTTGAAGCATCTCATGTGGCTGACCACCCCAGACCACGTCTTTAACTCCGCATTAGGCCTCTACGATTTAAACCTCGCTGCGTTAGTAGCCGCCCACGCCCACTCCCAGAAAGACCCCAAGGAGTTCCTCCCGAACCTCCGAGGCTTGGCCGCCGAGCCTCCGCCGATCCGGCGGCTCAGGATTGATGTGAGGCTCGGGAGGCTGGAAGGGGCGGTTGGCCAGCTGGTGGCCTCTGATTCGCCGCTGATGGTAGCTTCTGATTCGCTGTTGGTAGGGAGAGGAGAGGAGGGGAAGGGAGAGGAGGAAAAGAAAGAGGAGCAAGTGAGGGAGCAGGGCAAGGGAGAGGGGAGTGAGGCAGCAGGGCAGGAGGCGAGGAGGCTAGTAGAGGAGGTTATGGCATTGCTGCGAGCACACCCTGATAGACTGTTTCCTGTTGCTGCTGCTGCCACTGCCACAGCTATCGCCTCTCACCCCTCCCTCTCATCCTCCTCTTTGTCAGATTCCTCTGCTGCTTCTCTCGCTGCTTCTTCCACACCTACCATTGCTTCGGTCCGAACCTCCATTCTCAACCAATGGGCAGAGCACCTCTTTTCCCGAGCCTCCGAGGCCTCGCTTCCCGAAGCTGCGCTTCTCTTTACCGGAGCTAACAACCTGCCTCGTGCGCTCCAGGCCTACCGCCAGGCTGGGCAGTGGCGCAAGGCGCTTACCACTGCAGCCAGGCTCGGATTCCCCGAACCTGAGGTTCGGAAACTCGCACAGGAGCTTCGGGAAGAGCTTGTCGAGGTTGGGAGGAGGGCAGAAGCCGGGCGGCTGGCGATTGAGTACGAGGGGGATTCGGGCGGCGGAATTCGTCTTTTAGTGGAGGCGCATTGTTGGGAGCAGGCAGCGGAGGAGGCGGGGAGGAGTGGACAGGTGTCGCTTCTTGATTCGCTGATCGTTCCAGCATCAGTGGAAGCAGCAAGGGGCATGCTAACAGACATGGATGAAACACAGGGGAAAATAACAGCCTATGTTCGCCGGTTCGGTGCAGTTCGGTGCAAACGGGTGCAGATGGAGGAGAAGCTCAAGGCCGAGAGGTTGGAGAGGGAGGAGGTGGAGAGGAGGAGGAGGGAGGAGTATGGGGAGGAGTATGGGGGAGGGGGGATGGGGATGGATGAGGCTTCAGAAACTGCATCTATGGCATCGAGTGATGTGGGGAGCATGGCTAGCGGCGTTACTGGCTTGAGTGCCTACACTGCAGGGTAAGCAAGTGCACTATATCGTGAGTATCTTTATAGCATAATAAGTGAACCATGATGTAGGGAGCATGGGTAGAGGTGCCACGGCCAGGAGAAGCACACACAACCCCTACCACCACACGTAGCTTCCACTCCTTCCTCCCTCCATCCCCTTGCCTTCTCCGTCTTTCAATCACCCACAGCTCTTCGTCTTGTGTGTGCACGGCCAGTGGGTGGACCGCCACGAGCAGGTTGTGAGGTTTCTCAGCCCGCTTTCCCTTTCCCCACCGCCTTCCCTTCCCTTCATCCCACCCCCCACTTCCTGCCACAGCTCTTCGTCTCGTGTGAGCACGGCCAGTGGATGGACCGCCACGAGCAAGAAGACGGGTGGTAGGGCGGCCAGGAGAAAACAACAGAAGGCTGACAAGGGGAGGCGGATTCGAGCTGGCAGGTCAGATGAAGGGTCGTGCTTGGGGAAGGGAACGGGGGGTTCTGGGGTGGGCAAGTGTGCTACTCAAGCACTTTTGGGGTTGGGGAATGACTGCAAGGGTGCCTGTCCATCATTTTTTTTGGGGGGGAGGGGAGGGGGGGGGGGGGGGGGGGGGGGTTAAGAAAATAAATACCACTAATATTAAAAAATATCACTAGAAGTGTGCTAGTGAAGCACATGCACATGCTCAGGCGCTCAGTTTTTGGAGCTGACAAAACAAACCCTTTTGCTGCTTCTCTTTTACATTGGCCCAGTCCTGATGAGGAGCAAGCACTGGCAAATTCAGACGCTTTGACCCACTTTCGTTTTCGCCGACTCGTGCATATCGTTTTCCCATTCCCTGGCTTCTCTCCTCCATTGCTCCTCCCAGTCCTGACGAGGAGCAAGCACTGGCTGGGCACATTCACATGCTTCACCCTGCCTTTTACTCAGCTGACTCGTCATAAACCTCTCCCTCCCATTCCTTACTCACATCTCTCTTCCAATGCCCCATTCCAGTCCTGACGAGGAGCAAGCACTGGTCGAGCATGTTTGCACCTTCGGCCCGTCAGTTGCTGCTTATAGCTGACTCGTACCCCCCTCCCCCCCCCACCCTTCACCCCCCTCTCCTTTCCTTCTTCTCTTCTCCCTCCCATTCCAGTCCTGACGAGGAGCAAGCATTGGTCGAGCACATTCGCATGCTCGGCCCCTCCTCCCAAACCTTGGAGGAGGTTCGGCAGCTGCTGGAGCTGCTGACAGGCTCGGGGCACGAGCCTTTGGCTCGGAGGCTTCAGGCGCGGGTGGGGGCTATAATCGCCACTCATACGGCAGCTGTTGCGGAGGTGGAAGCAGCTCTTAAAGAGGATAGACTGAAGGCAGCGGTAGAATCTGAGGGGGTTTTACATTCCAATGCTGCTGGAGATGCTGCAGCAGAAGCGGGTTTGGCTTCTTCTACAAAGAAAGACGTGAAATGGAAGTGGGAGGTCCTAGAAGGCATTTAATCACATTGCAATATCCTGAAGCAGCTTTTTTTTCCACATACACATCTTGTATGGGAAACGTTTGTAACAGTGAAGTTCTACACGAAAATATAGGAGTATTTAAACAGCACGAAGGGGGAGACGAACCGGCACTTTGTAACCGGATTCCATTCAACAATTCGCCTCCAACCCAAACCTGGGCTCGGTGAGTCGGCGCTCCTCCTCGGCCGCAAAAGCCCCGCCAATACTGCTTTCAATTCGCGCCCCCCTCGCCCATTCCGCAACTCGCCCCGCATTCGCCCCAATCGATCCGCCATCTCTCTTCGCGCTACACTGCACTGATTCTCAGAAAATATCTCAATTCTCGATCCAACCTCTCTCGTCCCTACTCGAGCAAGCCAACAGCTCTATCTATCACCGTTGCGGATGCATCTCGCAGGCAGCGACGCAAGTATCGCACAAGTAGTATTGTACACGGTATTCACCTCACGTATGGGGGCGTATAGAGTGCGCGGCGCTGTCATGTTGTTAAGCGTCGAGGACTCGAACTCCTGGTGCGCGCTAGTGCAGCAACTTCTCCGCTGCAGCGCTCCGCGCGGAATCTCGGAGGCGTCATCGCGGCAACGCTCAGGGTTACATGCAAATGTCGAGTGATATTATAGAAAGGATCGAGCTTATTGGCTAAATCGACACAAACAGTCGGTTGCTGGTCGCTACTAGTCACGTTTTCGAGTCAACTCAACAACTGTCACTGTAAAGTACTAGTAAGGCCCTTCTTCCCCCAACTCGCTGCGCGAAAACTGACCAACTGCTTCGCCCCGTTCTCGCCAACGCCTCGTCTGAGAGTGCTCCCCAACCTCGCACGCGGGGCCGTTTCTTGACAGTAGGATGCGTCAACTGCACCAATAGGATTCAAAGAGCCGGACTAGGACGCATGATGATGATGAGTGATGCGCGCTTCCACTCATCAATCCGCGCGCTGCGCTGCGCTGCGCTGCGCGCGGGCAAAACGAGTTGGGGCGTCTGCGCGCTGCACTCGCGTTTCGGGCTCGCCAGGTGGGTATATAGGTAGCGAGCGTGAGCTAGTTCAGCCACACCGTCTTCATTCCGGCGAGATTCGAAGCTGTCGAGTTCTCCCGTCTCCACTGAGAAAGGGTGTTTTCCTAATCAATTAACACTCATTTATACTCTTGTACTCATTTATTGAGAAGGCTGTGCGTTAGGTCGCTCCCGACCTTGGGAAGACTTTGAAAATGGCCGTCCGCGCGCGAAATGCGGCTACCCCGTGGGTGGTTTTCGCGAGCAGCGCCGGCGTCGCTGCGCTGCTGGTTGCGTGTCTCCTGAGCGAAAGCGGGGCGAACTTCGCGAACGCGCAACCCGCGCCCGCGGGGGACCCCGACTGGGTGGCGCAGATGCTGCAGACCACCGACTCAGTGGGTGCGGAGACAGACGCGCAACCCGCCCCCGCGGATCTCGGCTGGGTGGAGCAGCTGATGCCGAATTCTGATTGGTCGGCGCAAGACGCATCCGCGCAAGGCCCCCCCGCGGAAATCCCCCCCGCGCAAATCCCCCCCGCGCAAGGCGAACCCCCCGCGGACGATCCCGACTCGGATGACCAGGATGAGGAGGACGATTCGCGTCCTGAATTTGCTGGAGAAATTGACCCCGAAGACTCGGAAGGTCAGGCGGAGCCTGACTGGGAGGCGCAGATGCAGTCGATCCTCCAGCAGGTGGCCAATCGCACCTTCCTCTCCTCCTTCGGCCAGATCTTCGCCAGCTTCTGTGAGTTCTTAACCGCTCTGAACCGTTCTGAGCCCCGTCCCGCCTTCTTCACCCCCTTCCCCCGCGGAGGTGCCTGGCTGGGAGGCGCAGATGCAGTCGATCCTCCAGCAGGTGGCCAATCGCACCTTCCTCTCCTCCTTCGGCCAGATCGTCGCCAGTTACTGTTGAGTTTTCAATCGTTTTGAACCTCTCTGTATCCATTTCCAGTCCAATCGGGGTGCCTGTTCATTGGCCAGGATCTGATTCCTTCCCATCCCCACCAGCGTCTCTCTTCATTGGCCACTGGTGCCACCTCACCCAGTGTCCCACCTGGCACCTTATCGCTCATTTCAATCCTTTTATCTCTCCCTCCCCTCTTCCCCTCTCTCTATTTCTCCCTCCACCAGTCCAATCTGAACAGGAACTGCCTCACTCCGAGTCTAATTGCTCTTACACCTCCCATTCCTATCCGTTTTGTCAACTCTTTCCAATCCTCCCTCCACCAGTCCAATCGGAGCAACTGTATATCGATCAGGATGCAACTATCCTCATCCCCACCAACGTCGGCTACTGGCGCTACGAAACCCAGTGGGACACACTCACCCGCAAGCAGAAGCGTCGGTTACTCCGTTACCACATTCTCAAGGGGCGTTACACCACGCAACAGCTTCTTGACGCCGCCCCCCTCACCCTCTTCCCGACTTTTAACCAGAACCTGCCGGTGAACAAGACTCTTAAGCCGAACGAAGTGTATTTCCAGTCGGTTCCGCCGACGAGGTTCGTGTCGCCGCTGAGCGTGCCGAATGCGGGACTGACAGATAACATTGCTGCGCATGGCGTGACGATGGTGCTCATTCCGCCCAACCTCAACTAGACGAATTTGTCTTCTTGCAAGAAGAGGCGATGCGCTGAGCATGCCGAATGCCGGGCTGACAGATAACATAGCTGTGCATGGAGTGACAATGGTTCTCATTCCGCCCAACCATTCGTCCTCTTGCAAGAAGTGGTGCTATCCACTTGGTAGCAATCCGAAACAGCTAAGCGCTTGTTTTGGAGTATAGAGGGTCCATAAGCCAGGGATTGGCCGGGGGGATGGAGTGAGCGATGCTGGATGGAAGTTGTGATGTTTGGGAGCAGGCTTTATGAATAAAGAGACGGACAATAAATTCCACTATGGAGTTAATGAATGATGGCACATGCATTCCACCTTCGAAAAAAACTGTTGTAGAATGCATTCAATGGACTGAACACTCCAATCGAGCATGCTTACCACACATGCTTACCGCACCGTACCGCACCGCATCGTACCCTAAACAAGAAATCCGTTCCAGTAGAATTCACTATCACATTAACTCTCTTGTTGATCACATTGTTTTGAGTTCAGTCACATTCGTTTACATTACCTTTTCCAGCTAACTCGATTACTTTCTATTCTGTAGGAAACGTCAGTATTAGTGTATCAAATTGTGAATGGTAGGCGTGTTAGCGTTATCGAGGTTTAGCGTTATCGTTACGTCTCGCATGGTTTTTATCCGACTGTGGAGTGTGGCGACGATTTTCACCGTGAAGCGAAAATGGTTACATGCCTTCATTACTCAAGTCAGATATCGTGAAGCGGGAGACGAAGCGGCACTCCGTTACCGAGTTCCCATACAATGTTCGCCTCCAATCTTTGGCTCGATATGGTCTCCTCGTCACCTGCCAACACTCGACAGTCCCGCATTCATTTCGCGTCGTCCTCGTCAATTCCCCCAATTCGCCCCACGTTTCGCCCCCCCGACCGATCTGCCTCGTTCGCGCCACTGCTTTCTCTGTCTCTCTACTTCCTCGCGCGTCCCTACTCAGCAAGCCAGCAACCCTAACGTTGCAGTTGCATCCCGCAAGCCACAAGTACCATACGAGTTTTTGCCTCACGTATGGGTGCACCAAGTGCACTGCGCTATCTTGCCGTCAAGCGCCCGAGAACTCGGAATCCTGGTGCGCGAGAGTAGGAACTTCTTCGCTGCAGCGCGCCGATGCCGCGTGATCTCGGCGGCGCCATCACGGCAACGCCCAGAGCTCCGTGCAAGTGTCGAGTGACATTATAGACAGGATAGAGGTTATCGGACAAAGCGACAAAACAGTCAGTTTCTGGTCTGCTAGTGTCACGCGCTCGATTCAACTCAACAAACGCACTCGGCTCAACCGTCGACTATAAACTGAATCCGCCATCGCTCGTCGCGCCGCCCCTCTCATAGCGGAAACTTACCAACTGTTCCCCCCCGTTTCCTTTAAACGCCTCCTCCGAAAACGCTCACGTCTCCCTTTGAGAACCGAGCCGATCATACGGCAGGCGACAGGATGCCTCAACATCAACTTGTTGCGTGGCGCGGTCCCGTCGCCGTAGGATTCGGCCAGTCAGACTGGTTGGCGACAGCGACGCGGGGCCGGGCGCATGATGAGTTGGGCGTCTGCGCGCTGCTCTCGCGTTTCGGGCTCGTCGGATGGGTATATAGGTACTAGCAAGCGTAAGCGACTTCAGCCACACCATTCAGCGAGATTTGAAGCTGTTGATTTCTCCTGTTTCCACTGAGTGAATCCTTTTCCCCTTCTCATTTATTAAGAAGGCTGTGCTTTAATTTCCTCCCGACCTTGGGAATATTCTTCGAAAATGGCCATCTGCGCGCGAAATGCGGTTACCCCGTGGGCGGTTTTCGCTAGCAGCGCCGGCGTCGCCGCGTTGCTGGTCGCGTGTCTCCTGAGCGAAAGCGGGGCGAACATCGCGAACGCGCAACCCGCGCCCGCGGGGGACCCCGACTGGGTGGTGCAGTGGCTACAGGGCACCGAGCCAGACGCGCAACCCGCCCCCGCGGCTCTCGGCTGGGCGGCGGAGCTGGTCCAGAGCTCTGATTCGCCGGCGCAAGAAGCTGTGCAACCCGCGGAACCCACGCAACCCGCGCAAGGCGGCCCTCCCGCGGACGATCCTGACTCCGACGATCAGGATCAGGAGGACGATTCCTCGACCGCGGGGGAGCCTGACTGGGAGGCGCAGATGCAGTCGATTCTCCGGCAGGTGGCGAACCAGACGTTCCTCAACAACTTCGCCCAGGACTTTACCTTCTTCTGTAAGTTTCCAACTGTTTTGAACCGCTCTGAGCAACCCCCCACGGAGCCTGACCGGGCGGCGCAGATGCAGTCGATCCTCCAGCAGGTGGCGGATCGGACGTCCTCCTCTTTCCACCAATTTTTTTATTGTTATTATTACTGTGAGCTGTATCGTTCTGAACCGTTGTGCACCCGCCTGTTTATTGGTCAGAAATGATTTCTTCTCATCCCCACCAGCATCCCTACCAGCGTGGGCCACTGGTGCCTCCTCACCCAGTGTGTCTCACCTGGCACTACCTCATCCAGTGTGTCTCACCTGGCGCCATTTTCCTCTCATGCCCCACTCGGTCAGAGCAGAATGGCGCCAGGTGGATATGTTTTCTTAATCCTTTCATCTCTCACTCCCCTCTTCCTCTCTCTCAATTTCTCCCTCTGCCTTCCAGTCCTAACGGAGCAGCTGTACATCGATCGGAATGCAACCATCCTCATCCCCACCAACGTCGGCTACTGGCGCTACGCAACCCAGTGGAACACGCTCACCCCCAAGCAGAAGCGCCGGTTACTCCGTTACCACATTCTCGAGGGCCGTTACACTGCGCAGCAGCTCCTGGACGCCGCTCCGTTCACCCTCTTCCCGACTTTCAACCAGAACCTGCCAGTGAACAAGACTCTTAAGCCGAACGAAGTGTACTTCCAGTCGGTTCCGCCGACGAGGTTCGTGTCGCCGCTGAGCGTGCCGAATGCGGGACTGACAGATAACATTGCTGCGCATGGCGTGACGATGGTGCTCATTCCGCCCAACCTCAACTGAGCATGGTCTTCCCGCAATGGGAGGCACTATCCATTCCGGTAGCAATCCGAAACAGCGTCTAAGCGCTTGTTTTGGTGTGTAGAGGGAACATAAAGCAGGCATGGGCAGGAGGGATGGAGTGGGTGGTGCTGGATGGATGTTGTAATGTTTGGGAGCAGGCTACGGAATAAAGAGAAGGGACTCCATTCATGGGGTGCCTATGTTTGATAGTACAGTGCAAAGTACCATATATTTTTTTAACGAACTCTTCATTCGATTCATTTGATCACCAACAAAGCTTGCTAATTGGATGAACAAATGCCGGCGCTCACTCTCACCTAGATAATCGGCCCAAACAAGAGCAGGCACTGGTCGATAAATTTTGCCGGGTGTGCTTGATCTTTGATCCCTCTTTCATTCGACGACTGCTGGGGATTGAAGAAGGTATTGAAGAGGATAGTCTGGAGGCGACATCATTAGTTGAGGGGCATTCTTTCGATGATGTTTCAGGAATGTGTTAGGCTTCTACTAAGCAATAATGGAAGGGAAGTAGTACTTAGTAGAAGACATTTTATCATTATTCAACACTGTAGTATATCGAAGCAGCAAAATTTGTAAGCATTGCCACGAACTTCTAGGACGAAAGTTTGACAACACGAACCGGGAGACGAAACGGCAGTTGCTGTTACGATATTACAGTCTGTACCGATTCGCGGTTCGCTTCTCGCTTGGTCTCTGCGCTGCCACCTCTTCACGTGCAGAAGCCCCGCCACTTCCGTCCACAAAGAATTTGCGCCCCTCTCACCCATTTCGCAACTCGCCCAACGTTCAATTTTCGCAACCCCCCCCCAAACCCCCCCCCGCCCCCTCCCACTGATCCGCCTCTGCTGCCTTTCTTGAACTTTCCCAACTCGATCAACCTCAGCTGTTGTTGCGTTTTCTTCTCGTCGCGAGTATTGCATGGGTACACACCTCGGTAGTAGGCGTTCAGTAGTAGAGTGCGTGTACTGTGCTCGCGGCGTGAAGTGAGATTTCATGTTGTGAGAAAACGACGAATCGAACTTCCGTTGCGCGAGAGCAGCAACTCCTCCGCTGCAGTGCGCCGGTGCCGCGGAATCTCGGCAGCGTCATCGCGGCGACCCTAAGGTCTCGAGTAATCCGATAGCTAGGATATATTTTTCCGACGAAGCAAACAAAAACAGTGAGTTGCCGGCGTGCTCGAGTCAACTCAGAAACCGTCGACTGTAAACTAGTACAGCTATCAGAAACCGTCAGCTCGTTGCGCCGGAAGTACCATTTGAACGCCATTTTGGGTGAAAACCTTTTCCGCTCGGCGCTCGTTGCGCCGCTCGTTGCGCAGCTCGTTGCGCCGGAAGTATCAGAAACTCTCTGCGACCAGGTCGGACCTCTCTGCGACCAGGTCGGACCTCTCTGCGACCAGGTCGGACCTCTCTGCGACCAGATCGGACCCCTCTGCGACCAGGTCGGACCCCTCTGCGCAGAAACTCACCAACTGCTTCCGCCGTTTCCGCCGCCAACGCCTCGCCTGAAAATGCTTCCTTCACCCAACGCACGCCGACCTGCGTTTTGCAGATGATATGATGCATTCTCGATAGACGTGGATCCACGTCAGGTTGTTGCGCTCCCTCGCGATATATGATCCAGCCAGTCAGCCTGGTTGCTGACAGGAAGCGCGGTCAGACGTACGATGATGCGCGTACGCGTGGGGCATGCGCGTACGCGTGGCGCACGCCTGCGCGCCTGCGCGCTCCTTGGACGAGTTGGGGCGCCTGCGCGCTGCGCTCGCGTTTCAGGTCGCGCGGAGCTGTCGGGGGAGTTAGAAACCTCTCGCAGTAGAAACTGCTGACAGGAGCTTTGAGAGGGAGAGGGGGGGAGGGAGGGGGGGGGGGGGGGGGGGGGGGGGGGGGGGGGGGGGGGGTAGAAACTGCCGAACGAACAGGAGCTTGGGGGGGAAGGGAGAGGGTGGTAGAGACTGCTGC